CAACCCCATAGTTACAGCTGCCTAAAAAAAAAAATACAAAACAAAACTTTATTACTCATTATGATACACACACACTTACACAGACTCACTTAATTCTTTTGTGCTGCCTTATTGAACAATTGGCGAAATGCGCAACCTTATATAGAGGGAAAAGTTTATTTTGCTGCCGCTGCTAGTTGTTGGAAGTGTTGCATTTTTCTCCGCTGCCTGCCTCCTTAATGCGCTCCAAGCTGCTGCGACTCAATGGCGGCACTCCAACACAAACACAATACAAAAAGTTTTGCACTCCCAACAGGCAGTTTTATTTTAAAGGCCGCTGCCAAAAACTTTTCTCATTAGTTACTATTTTAGCCGCAGTTTAATTGTTACACACACGACAGAGAAAAGAGGAAAGCAACAGATTGAAGCAGAATCGTAAAAACTTAAAGCCAGCCCCTCTCTACGAATATTTGTTATTTGCGCTCAACTTAAAAACAGCTGTACTCGTATCAGCTGAGGCTGCAAGATTTGTGCAAACAAATTTCATTTCGTGTACGCAATTTGATTCGTCTCAGTTTCCACTTTCCATTGCACCGCTGGCACAACTAAAGCACAATTTTATTTGTTTAATGAAAGCGACCAGCTCTAATAATACTAAAATAAATTTCACACAGCACCTTACTTTAGCACAACAACAACAACAGCAACAAGAGGAACGCAAAACAACAACTTAAATTAGAAGCTGGGGCATGCAACTTTGCTTGGGGAACCGCACATCGGCATCTGTGGCGCGTGACAGGCCCTAGGCAAAGGGCAAATATTTTAATGGGGCCGCACGCCGCACAGTGTCAAATCGGGCGAAAAGTTTTCTTGCGCTGACTTTATACTGAAAAGTCTAAAAAGTCATTCACACAATAATTACATTTGCATGACATATGGCTACGGACAGTAGTTCATAAGTTTCTTTGTAATTTCTTCATTCAAAAGCAATAACATTCCAAAGAGTTTCTAATTTAACTAATTTAATTGTCTGGCCCCAGGCCAATTCGAATAACGAAAGTTAATGATTCATTTTAGCAAACAATCTTCGTTTACGAAGTGGCGAATGTTCGAAAACAATAAACATATATGTACATGCATATAAGGTATAAGCTCCACAAATAAACTTATTATTTTGAATATTACTTATTTATCGCAGCTACGTCATAACTGGTTAACAGCAGCGAAATTATGTATTCAAATCAGAGTTTTATTAATTATATTTATTTATATGAAAGGTACAAGATATTAGGTTTGTACAAACTGAAAAATATAACATGTAGAAGGAGACTTCTTGATCAGCATAAGAACACGAGTCGATTTAGCTCTGCCTTTACATCAGTTGAAATCCAAAAGGAGGTAAAATATACACGTACTATATAGTCGTATTATCGATCAAGAAAACATTTTTTATTACACTTTTCTTTATTTTTTATTTAATTTATAAAATTATTCTACACATAGGTACAGAGTATTTCACTTGGTCTTTATTACATGAGAATACAAGTCAATAATGCTATTTCAAGCTACGTTTACTTCTCAAACTATACAGCATAGTAATTAGGTAATGATTTTCGTCTTTTGGTCCATCAAATTAGGACACGGTGCACTGATATTAAATAAAGAGCTGACTCGTCCTGGCCCATAACCCTGCCAAAAAGGCATTGCAAAAGTATGTGAAGGGGAACTGGATGGATGGATAGATGGATGAATGGATGGATGGATGGATGGTCGTAGGAGCGCCGAGTGGGATGGGCGAGTAATTACACATACATAAACATGTAAGCAATGCCTTTAATTTGTGCACACTGTTGTTGACACACAAAGGCCATCGGGCCAGCAGCAAGACGCATTATCACGCCCCTTTACACTGACATTAAGGGCACGTGATTTTGTCAAAACTGTCTCGCTATCCTCCTGCCAGCCAACCCGTTGTCTCTTACAATCACACACCCACACATATCCAGCAATCTGCAATCTGCAGGGCATGTCGACAGCAACCTCTTTGTGGCGCATGCAATTTCATTTACGTTCACTTTATTTATTGTATATTTAATTACAAAATTAATTCACAGTCCCCGAATAGTTAGTATGTAGCATGATGCTCAAGTCACTTACACAGCCCACGGCTGCTTTTAATTAAATGCATGCCGTTTCTGCTCAAATATAAGTCCCATCCCTCCTCCCCAACACCTGCCCTAGCACACCTGTGCCCATCTTCAAGTCTTTCCATCTGTCTAGCTGTCCATCTGTCTGTCTGCCTGCTGCCTGCTGCGCTTCATTTTGCTCTAGTTGCCGCATGTGTTTATGCCACTCGCAGCACAATTTGTGATGTGCACTGACTCTTGTGTAATTATTACATGGAGGGGGAGCCGGCATTGCATTGGGGGAACGCTATCATACATACTCGTATGAGTACATACATACATACCTACTCGTATGTATATTTGTGTGTGTTTGTAGAACTATGTTAACATTTTCGTGTGCTGGCAAAACTAATTGTATCATCTTGCGGCAATCACAGCACATTCAAGAATGTAAGCCTATTTCATTTGACTTGGCCACCATTTGTTGGTATGGGTCTGGAAGTAATCGTAGTAAACATAATGTTGTCGAAAATCTAACAATTGCCATGGTGCACATTCTTGACAGATGGGGCTTTGAGATAATGTATTAGAGAATATAAGATTAGATGAGATACGACCAGATTAGATGAGAGTAGATGATTTAAGATTACATTAATGTATGTTTGATTAGATTATGTTATGTGAATAAAAATATTTTATTTTATATTATGAAGATTAGATTAGACTATGATAAAACATTTTAAATATTTTAAGAACCAACCATCCCATTAAACACAAGTTCAAAACTGTTGAGAGATATCAGTCATTCAGTTCATTTTGGCTCATTTTTATACCCTGTACCCAAAGGGTACAAGGGTATATTAGTTTAGTGCGAGTGCACATGGAACACACAGAAGGAGGCTTGGTAGACCCCACAAAGTATATATATTCTTGATCAGCATGACAAGCCGAGTCGATATAGCCATGTCCGTCTGTCCGTCTGTCTGTCCGTCTGTCCGTCTGTCTGTCTGTATGAACGCAAGGATCTCCGAAAGTATAAGAGCTAGAATAACCAAACAGATTCTCCTGAGACCGAGAAAGGACGAGTTTGTTCATTTTTTTTGATCCACCCCCCCACTCCCCCCCTATTAACGATTTTCTATAACTCCCGTAATTCTTGGAATTTTTAACTTAAATTTGGTTGTCACATTAGGTTAGTAATTATATAACCGTATACCAAGTCTCATTATGATAGAATGATCGGAAAAAAAGTTATAGCCATATAACCAGGCTCAATGCACACATACATACATATGTACAAGTACACAAACACGCATAGACACGATTCTGATGTAATTGTAAATGTATGTATGCATGCATGGAATATTTTATATTTAATTAGTTAATATTTAGTTAATTAATTAAATTAATTTAGTTAATTAATTTAATTAAATTAATTAATTAATTTAATTACTTTTTTGTGGGGTGGTACAGGGTATTTAAGAGTTGAGCCTGCTCGACTTTAGCATTCCTTTCTTGTTACTATAATGTACGTTCACTGGCACTAAAATGCTCATAACTTCTTTGGCTGTCAACCGATTGTGTTCAACTGTCGTTTTTGTCAATAGCTTACAAATTGCGATTGTGGTTACTTTAAGAAAGTATACACTTCAAGTAAGGCTCCGTTCGTCCAATAGAAGACCAACCTATAGACGGTTAACAGAATATTATATTTCCAGTACAAAGATTAAGCTTCCAGAATGCTAATGAAAATATTTAACAATAGCACATTAAAAAACATTATAATAGAATCATAGTTTTATATTTCAGATAAGAATTAAGTTACTTTAGAAGTTCTGATAAATCGTGAATCTCGGGATAATCAAAAATCCTAGATGTTAAAGGATTAAACGATAGGCATTAACAAGTTTTTGAACGATCAATAGTAGAGATAAATCTCAGTAAATACTTACTTGAAGAGCTATAAATAGCCTGTTAATAGAGGTCCAGATAATCGAGGTTCAACTGTATTTCAAAAATTATTTATATGTACATATAATTAGGAAATACAATTATGGTATTTCTAACAAATCATGTTTAGAAGAAAAACAAATATTTTTAAACTTTAAGAAATCATTTTTAAGTCCCCAACTAACTTAGAGATTTGGCATGTTTTTGTTTCGACTACAAGTATAATCAATTTTTTTCAGATTTTCTGTGCCAATTGCTTGTCTGCAATACAGCAAATAAAAAGTATAAATAGGTCTCCAATATGTGAGCTGCTCTTTACCACATGATTAAAAGGATGTAGTTATATGATTAAGTGCCCGTTTAGTTACTTACACTTTTTATGAATATTAAAACTTTTACAACGTGCTCGGACTCAGACATTCTCTTAACTTTTTAGTAAGCCATCGTTAGCAGCGATTCTGCATTTAATTTATATTATCGGCTTATGGGCAGCATTGGCTGTTGGCCAGGTTTTTTGTTATTTATTTTTTAATTACCGAGGCCAACTTTGAGTCAACCGACAGATACAAAAACGACTAACTGTCGGTTGACAAATTGTGGAGTGTATGGAAGAGAATGGACGGCCACTTTAAAACTCTACTTCGCCACGACGTGGACGCGCTAATTAGTTGGCAGTTAATGGAGTTGACAGGCGACAGAAAGGAGCCCAAGTACCATGCACCAAGTAGTAGCTGACATTAAAAACGCACTAATTACTCTGTGCAACGCATTTATTTCAGAACGCAAACAACGGCAAAGTTTTATAATTATGTATGACAATAGGATTGAACAAGCTAATTAAGGAAACTTATGGTAACAACAAATGTATACATTGCAAGGTAATCTTCAAACAATTTATTTAAAACTATCATCTATTTTTGGACTCCGCTTAATGCAACATTGAAAGAAACTTACAACTATTTGTGCTTAAGATATGTTTGTAAATTCCATTTCATTTATAACAAAACGAGAAAACTGTAGAGAGAGATAGGCATTTAGCCAAATGTTCAAATGCCTGTCTGTTTTATGTTTGAATTTTCAAATGTGAACTTGGATTTGAAATTCTTTATCTTCAAATATAAATATATTCCTATGGCAATTATGCATCTCTGCAGACGCACAGATGTGCTGCTTCAATAAATTATAATATTTTACAACTTATGTACGATATGTGTGTGTGTATTAAATCGTAGAATAGGTATAGACATAAATCTATATACAATAAAAGCTCAAAACGTTTTCAGAAATGGCAAAACAAATTAAAATAAATGAATAACCTATTTTGTAGGGTAAGTTGTACATGCAAGTATGTAATCGAATGCACTTTGCAGTAAATAAATATTTCTGGACAATTCTAAGGCTATCTCTAAACATAACTGTGGGACTCTATGGGACAATAGAAATGTTGTTTTTTGGAACAATGCTAAAAAAAACTGTACAATAATCGTTGTAACCGCGCGACTTATTCAATATTTTTCATAAAGCGATTCTTAAGCTTCTGTGCCTGACGACCTTATCTTAATTGTCTAAAATTTATATACAAATAGTTTATAGCCTATGATACCCTAATAGAAACACTTTCGAACGCACATTTAATAACAGTATTGAGGGGCTTCACTTATGTATATATAGAATAGTTCGAAGCTATGTTGTTTTGTAGCAGTATTGTTGAGTTTTCTTCATAAGGCACAATATGTACACCTGAATTAACTTGTAGGTTTAAGTTTGTGCTCATCTAAGCACCTGGCGGTTTGCCATGCACACGAAAGCGATACAGGCACGTATAGGTGGGTTGTCCATGGTTCGATTCGATGCGCAGTTCCACAATTTCGTAGGGCTGTTTAATGTCTGGATTCTGCACGGGAAAGTATTGCAACGAAGCCTCATTGTCCACATACTCGTATGCGCCAAAAAACACTGGCTCCTGATCCTTTTCGTGCTCCAAGCCCTAAAAAGAACAGAGAAGCAGCAAAAAGTCACGTTAATAATAAATATCAACAATATATAAAAAATAGTATTGCCTCTCACCCAAACTGTGAAGTTGCGTGGCGCTGAATCGATGCGTCCTGTGGGCGATAGACTTTTGGGGATGTGTTCGAGCGTGAAGCCGGTTATGTAGACCATGGAGTTGAGTTTAAGAACTGTAGGATATATATAAGAAATTTATTCTTCTTTATAGGCGCATGTTCAAGAACTTACCGAGAAAGCCCGGAAAGCCTTGGAAAGCCCAACACTCGCCAGGATGCACGTTCGGTGATATGGCCACGCGTGGCGTATTCGTGGGATACCAGAGTGGGATGCCGAACACCGAGATTTGCGCCGACTTTGTCTGATAGCTCTCAGTGCAGCGTGTGGAGAGAATTTGCCCACCGGCCGACTCGAGCGCAAAGTCCACCAGACCCGTTTTATCCGCATCGTAAATGGCTAGCACTGCCTTAACAATTTTGTGCACCTCCTCCTCGCGTATCTGAGTCTTTAGCTGAGTGCTTCTCTCAGTGTGTTTTGCCTCCACAGCCAAGAGGATCTCACGCTTCAAGCGCTCGCTTATGTCACTCATCAGCACAGCGCTCGAACGTTCAATTTCCTCGCGTATGTTGTTGTGAGTACGCCTGTTAAGTTCCAGCAGCTGCTGCTCCAGATAATCCTTAGCCACAAACATGCTACGCACCCAGTTCTGTAGATCAATGTCATCAAGCTTCTCACCGCCATTGTCCGCCGTCTGCTTGAAGCCCAAAATCTCCACTAGCGTCAATTTCATCTGCTTGTTAAGCGTCGCGAATTGTGAGTCATTTAAGGCGGCCAACTTGGTTTCGATTTCGGCCAGCACACCACTAAAACGTTTATCCTGCGCCAACTCATGCCGCTGCATGCGCTCCAGCAGATCCTCCTGCGACAGCTTTAGCTTACTTAACGACTGCTGCAAATCGGCGTTCTCGGCATGCTTGTCCGAGAGCGCCAGTTTGATGAACGCGATCTCCTTGTTCAGCTCATCAACTAGAAGCTCTGACTGCGCCGAGTGGCCCGAACCAGCAGTGGGCTGCTCAGATGTGTGCCTTGCCAGCGCTAAATGAATGCGCGCATCTACGAACTCCGCCATTTGCGGTGCTGCCAAAATCCGACCGAGTAGTGCATCCAAATCGATGCGTTCCACCAGCCAAGTGTAATGCTCATGCTGTTTTAGCTCGACTACCAGCAGCTGTCTAATCTCATCCAACTGGGCGGCTGTCAGCGACACGGGCCTACCTTGCCACTCACCAGATTGCTGCAGCTGCAGTTTCAAGCGTATCGCCAAAGCCTCTACATCAGCATCGCTTAGTTGACTTTTTGTTTTCACCGCAAACTCTGCCAGGTTTTCACGCATAAGATTCACGATGATTTTCAACTGTTGTGGCGATAGCTGTTGCCGCAACTCTCCTTGCCGCTGTTCTTGCTGTTGCAACTTTAGTTCCACCAACTGCTGCACATAGCTGTGCACATGATTCAGTATGTTCTCATACTCCTCGGGCGTTAGCGATTTCTGCATGTTCTGCTCGATGTTTAGCATTTGCAATTTGAGGGCCTCGGCTTCGTTCACCTCGGCGCCCCAATTCAGACTGGGAAGCTGCACCAGCGATTTGAAGGAGGCGCCCGCATTGGTAAGCCGATTGTGTAGCGAGGCGTATAGAGTAAGGGGCAGCCACGCCTCCAATCGCTGCGCGTAGAGCGCACGTTGCTCATCCTGTAGCAACGACCAGGCTGTGTCGGCAAAAGACAAAGATTCATTATTAGTTAGCACAATCGAAGCCTGTTTGTCCATGTCTGAAATACGAGACTAAGAACTATACTTCAATTGCAATGCCGCGCAAGAATATTCAACCATCGAGCGGTTCTTTTTAGACATTTCTTACAAAGTATTCGCCTTCAACTCAGAAGCTATCCTTCTACATTTGTTTGGAATCAATAATTTTGCGGAACTAATAACAAGAGAAGCCAAATAATTTGAATTTCGTTTCGGGTCTCGGGTAGTGGCAACAACTACATAACAACACAAATGCAGAAGGATAGAGAGTTTTTACCAACCAACCAATGGTTTATTTGTTTATCTTTAATAGAATTGATGTACTTCATATTTTTTTTATTTTACTTACCATTTCATGTCGCATTCGTGGCAAAATTCAATGCAATGGCAAATAAAACACAATTATTTTTTCTTTTATCATGTAAATGTCAAACACAAAATGAATGTTTGCATTTTTTATTTAAAGAAATCAACTTTTTTGTTTTTAATTTGACAATGTTGAAAATGAACAATGAAGTTTGCGATTAAATTTATTTTCCGTTGCACTTGCAAATTAAAACATCTTTAAAAATGTTGTTCAACAACAAGAACAATATGTTGTGAAAAATTTGTTCGTCAAAAAACTATTATTGTTTAATTTTAAATTCTTGAATTGAATGGCAGCGCGCTCTATCCTTCTCCGATTTGCGTCTGTGTTGTTTCTTTTGAATAAGGGTAGAGGAGGGAGGTTTCTATGCATGTATGTGTATGTGTGAGTGTGTGTTGCAAGTGATGTGTGTGTGTGTGTTTGTGTGTGTGTGTGTGTATGAACTTTTGGTGGGTCAGTTAGCGATCAGTTTGTACGATAGGAACGACAACACTTAGTCGAGAGACAACAGACAGACAGACAATCAGATCAAAGACAAAACAAATGCATAAATTTGTACTCTAAATAGATATTTTTGAAATCAATTGTAAGCTTGCAAATCAATCAGGGCAGTCTAACAGTCAACTCCATTGAAGGATGGGAAGTAAATCAATTCAGAAGAAAAAAGTACATATAGTATATTCAAGTGTTGGTTATATATAAAAATATTTTTTCTTATGCGACGTTTTAGAGCTGACTGTTAGAGCCCTAGATATACATACTACAAGTTATGGGGGAAGCTTGAATCTTGACCAATCTCAAATGAACAACTGCTGCAGGAGTTCGAGGCAAAATTGGTAGCCGAAATGCTCCAAATAAGGCCTAAACACGCTCATAATAGACCTCATCGTTGGCGCGAAATATACTGCGCCCCCGATCGACCACATTCTGACCAATGGTTCTCAAATACAACACATAGTCATCGGCCCAGTCGCGTACACGAGTTGCCTGCTCGATGGCCTGTGCCTTGTATGCCTCGTATTGAGCCTGATTCACATATTCATTGACATTGAAACTGATCTTGGGTAGTTCGGGTAATGTAAAAGTGTATTCGGAAAAGGATTGTGGTGGGAAACTTTCATTGGGATGTAGATAATAGAATAAACCTGCAAGTGGTAAGATGTAAAAACAATTTCATTAAATATAAAAATTTTAAAATAAATATCTACGGCTAAGGTTGTCCACATGTGTTTCCATTACACTTGCACAAAACAACAACAACAAATAGACAACTATTGACGTCAAGTGCTGTCATCGACCAGTTGAATAGTTTATAAATAAAACAGAGGTGAACTATATGCATTAAGATATTGTATTTGTTCTTGTTGTTAAAGCTCCCACAAAAAACCAAGGTCGAAGCGCGTCTAACACTCAATGTCAAGGCGAAAACATACTAACAGCTTTTTAGATACATATACCATACATGTACGGTATAATAATAATCCTATCAGATCGTTAATAAATCTATTTTGTGCCCCCTCTACCCCTTTAAATATAATGCTCCGATTTCGATAAAACGAACGTACTGAGGCATTACAAAAGGTTAATAAACCGAATTTGGTTACGATACAGTTTAAAAGCTCTTTTTGTCCACACGATCTGATGACCGGACGGATAGTGGTAATGGATATATCTACACCTCTTTCTGCCTGTTACATACGTTCAAACTATACCCATTATAATTACCATTAAGCCTAATTTGTGGACTATCGACAGATTGGTTTAAAAATATAATTACTCACCTGTTAACAGCAGCAAAGGCAAAAGTATCAGCAACAACAGGAGGAAACGTTTCTTTGCCTTGTTCTCTGGTTTCGAGCTCTTAAGCAACCACGTATCCAAGCTCAAAACGGACGCAATAAACAGATATAAATAACGCAATATGCTCAACAGGCCGCTTCTAATTTTCCCGAGAATGCCAGCTTGCTGCGCCTTTGTGCCATAGTAGGTATGATAAATGTCTGTCTCCGATGAGCCGCCCACATTGGCGATGCGCGCCCAGACAGTGGTGATAGTCGTCACTACAGTGGTTATAAGACGGAAAAACCACCAGCTCTGCTTCTGCTGATTTGCTCCAAAATTCGTGATGTCTACCTCATCCGCCGAGTCGTAATTCAAATGAGACTGTCGCTGCGTGTATTTAGACTGATAGCGCCGTCTTATGAACTCCTCCTGGGCCGGATTCTGTTGTACCATCAAGTTGACGCGAGCATTGTGGTTTTCTAGACCACGTCGCGACATATTCGGCATGGCCACAATGCCGGGAGCTAGAAGGCGCCGGTCAGGAGACAGCTCTGAGTATGTATAATCCGTTTTGGGTGTTTTGCTGCAGTTAACAAAATTCGTAATATAAAAAGCTTGTAGTTAGTTGCATCCGCGGGTTTAAGGATTCGCTACTCACTTCCAGTACTCGCCGGCTTCTTTGTATTCATGATAGGGCAATAGCTCGCTATTCCCAACGTTGCCGCCATTGCTACGCGAGATGCGTTTGCTGCTGCTGCGCTGCTCTTGAGCCGAATTCAACACATTCTGTGTGGTCTCTATTTGACTATTGTTTCGCGGTGTAGAGGTACTGGCTGAGCTAAAACTGCCGAAGGCATTTCCCAGACGCTTACTAGTCTGTGTAATGATGCTCGTGACCGTTGTGGTTTTTGTCTGCTGCTGCTGCTGCCTGCGTTTATCCTCCGGCGTGGTGTCATCGCTGGAATAATCCGAGGTCAGGTGCTGCCTGGCAGTTGCAGATACCTTACCGCGGATTTTGTCCGCTGAACTGGAGCTGCTGCTGCTTGTTGTCTTCGTCACGTGCTCCTCAATAATAGTCCTGAAAATAAATGAACATACATATATATTAATAACTAATTCAGTTTGCAGATAAAAAACTGTAAATTTATCATTTCGATATCTACAGTTGAATTAAAATTCTTGTAATTTCCGCATTATCAAAGCACATTTTGAAATCCCTCCATTCCTCACATTTTATTGCTCATATCTAATCGTACATACATATGCATATATATAGGTAGGTATGTAGTATATGTAAGCGTATAAATTGAATCAAAACAAACAGACAAAAATACATGTGCGCGCGATCTACGAGTGCTCATAAACTCGTACCAGTCTGACCTTCATTGGCCAAGAGCAGCTAAATGCTTTGGAATACAGGCAAGACATTTTGTTGTTGCTGTTGTTTTTACATGGATTTAACAAGCTATAGCTAATAGCCAGTGTGTGTATGTGTCGTCATCGCTGACAACAAACGAAAACGATATAAATAGACAGACTCAAGATATGGCAGCCATTACAAAAAAAAACCTCAAACAACACACTGGCTGAGACATAAAAACTTTTGATACAGATATATAAAAAAGCCCGCCAAAAGTCTAGCCTTCAGAGGGCACACCCTGTATAAATCAGAACCACAAACAACAACCACAACGCATGGCATTCGGCTTTGTTTGTGAGCGCTTCTCATTCGCTTATCGTGTGTTTCAACGTTGCTTTGCTCGGCGCGACCGACGAAGCGTCGGCGCTGGCCGGCCGTTTAGTTTGAAATTTCGCGCGAGTGTGAATAACACGTAGATGACGTCATGGGCGCGTGAATAACCACAGCTGCAATACATATGCACTCTTTTCATATGTATCTCTACATCTCAGTTATTTCGTTTTTGTTTGCCTTTTATTTATGACGATACTAACGTATTTTTTGTTATGTATCTCACACTTGCGCTAGTCGCGTGCTTCTAGCTTCAAAATTCATAGCAGCATTCACCTACTCGCAACCGCATGGATTGGAACTAACAATTTCAATTAATTGCATAGTTTTGCTTAATGTTGTAAAGTGTTAACTGTCGGGCGGATACTTTAAATTCCAAGTGTGTTGGAATAACTGCTAGTTAGTATGCATGTATTGTTGGGCATGTATCTAATGGATACATTTGCCTGAGCTACTTACTGCACATTGGGCGCCACGGATGATTTCTTCTTCTTCTGATGAACATGACCGTCCTCGTTCACTTGCTCCAAATTCTCATGATCGCGGCCGGAGCGCAGAAATGGTGTCTTGGACCGAGATCGCCTACGCGTCTCTATCTGATATGTATCATCGCTCATAATTACTTCGACTTCTCAGTTTAATGTGCGCTAGAAGAGATTTCTGTGCATGGAAACAAAAGAATGGCAAACATTTTAAGAAATTGCACCATAAATAAACATTAAAACAGATTTAAGCGATTCATATATTTTTTTAAATGTGTAAACTGAAATCTCTTTGTATGTATTTGTATGCGAGCTAACGGGCGTGGGTTGTTTACAATTGGCTGGATGTATGGAAGTATGATGTATGTATGTACGCGTATATACAGACGATCATACAAACATAATACATACATGTGTGTGTATGTGTTTTCTTTTTGGGGGACAAGGCAAGACGCCTATGGTAATGAAAAACAGCTTCGCGTTTCTGTAACGCGTGAATAGTTTTCGAGCAGCCGCTAATTTAAAAGAGGAGGGTTAATACTATTGCCTTGTGGACTGAAAACATTAGCATAAAATTATGCAACATGTGTTGAAATGAGCGCACTGCTCGACTTTAATTAGAATGTAATGGGTATAAGTGGATGTACTATCCATGATTGTATGTGTGTGGATGCTTAAGACTAAAAATAAGGCAGGCAAAAAATAATGAGAATGCATTGGCCAAGCTAGCTATGAATGCACGCCTGATGTTGGAATATTCGCCGCTATTAATAGGATTGTATCGCGGGCATTCGCAATTCATGAGCCAGAGCTATAGCTGTACATACATACATATACATAAGTTTGTGCATGTAAATATTTGGTGCAAATAGGAATTTTGTACGACCTTCTACTTCTAGCATAAACACACACACAGACACTTACTCATACGCACAAACGTGCAGGGTGTCTCGCTTCGCTAATCAATAATGTGCGCTGCTCACATTTGTAGCAAAAATGTTCGCTAAACAGGCAACAAACAAAAAAGGAAAAACATTAACATTTTGTGTGAAATGAAAACACAAACAAGTTTTCAATAGCTACGTCATTCGGTGGGCCAACGACAAACGTACCCACACACACACACACACAGGCACACTCACACTCCAACAGCATAAGCGGCGCTGCGTGTGGAAAAAATGCGGCACATACACACACTCACAAACACGCAAATACATGAAAGTTAGAAAAAACTTGTTCGAACTAAATATTCTTTCATAAATTATTTATTTTTCCACTTACTTTTCAAACATTCAACTTGTTTAGCACGTTATTACAGTTTCATTTGATAGGCGTTTGCACAATTTTTGATTTGGCAGCGACGCCGCGGCTATAAGTTTTTGATTCTTTACGATTTACGCCTACCAACACGTTACACAAAAACACGTCCTCTCTCATCGGCTGAAAAAACACTAATGAGCGGCGAAACTTAGTATCGATACCACCACAAACAATATCGGTATTTTTCCCTAATACAGCAACATTCACCTATCGGTCAAGACACTATCTATGTGTGACAAAGTAACATATACACCAAAGCTGGGATATGTACATTTTATATACGGGTAAAATTATTAAATAAGTCTATTTCAAACTAATGACTCAACAGAACGGTCGCAAGTCTATTTTAATTGACCGTTTTCCAACACATCAAGCATGCATCGAAATCCGATACCATTGTCATCGTTCCCATCAAGAAGAAGTCTGCCGTCATTTTCGTTTTGCATGTCATTGTCGTTCAGGATTAAAAGTGAACAGTCTTACAAATATAAAAAAAAGATCGAAGGCGGTTTAAAACTTGATTTTCAAAGTTTCATTTTGTTTATAATTATTGCATTATATATCCAGTAAGTAGAACATTAATAACAAATGTGTGTCATTGTAATTTTTTCTGAATTTGCAGCTCTCGAGAAGCGCTCGCATTATGTTTGGTCGTCAGAGCGGTTTGGGGAGCTCCAGTGGCAGCAGCAGCAACCTAATCGAGTTTCGCGCTGGCCGCATGAATATGGTCGGCAAGATGGTGCATCCAGACACACGCAAAGGCCTTGTCTATATGACGCAGAGTGACGATGGCCTTATGCACTTTTGCTGGAAGGATCGTACTTCCGGCAAAGTAGAGGATGACTTAATTGTCTTCCCCGATGATTTTGAATACAAGCGCGTGGATCAGTGCAAGACTGGTCGCGTCTATGTGTTGAAGTTTAAATCGTCAACTCGTCGCATGTTCTTCTGGATGCAGGAACCAAAGACGGACAAGGATGAAGAACACTGTCGTCGTATCAATGAGCTGCTAAACAATCCGCCATCGGCTCACCAACGCGGAGGCGGTAATGACAACAACGAGCTTCAGTACATGCTGAACAACATGTCGCAACAACAATTAATGCAATTATTTGGGGGTGTGGGCCAAATGGGCGGGCTAAGCTCGCTGCTTGGACAAATGAAGTGAGTGTGGGAAAGAGCCCTCTGTGGATACTCTTTAACTTACCCCTTTCTTTATAGCCCCCGCACACCATCCTCACGCAACACGTCGTCGTCTGGCGGTGGATCGAACAGTTCTTTGCAAACCCCCGAAAATGTAAGCGTGCCACGCACACCGTCAGCACCCAAGGCTTCCAAGTCTGGCAGCAGTCGTACCAATCTAATCGGCGGCAACAACTCGCAGGGTGACTCAGCAGGCAGCGCTACGACCTCCGATGCTGGTAAGAAATCGACCACTTCAGCTTCTACAACAGCAACAACTGGACCCTATGCCAATCCATTCCAAGCCTACTTATCCAATCTCTCCCCCGAACATGGCGCAGGTCGCTCTCTGAATATCGACCTATCGACTGCACTGTCGGGCACCGAGGCCATCAATCAGCTAATCGCAGATCCGGAGCGCGTGAAGACGTTGATTGTGCACTTGCCCGAGTCTGAAGATGCCGATGAGGATCGCAAGCAGCAAATCAAGGATCACATCAATTCACCACAATTTCAGCAGGCACTGGCACAATTCTCCAATGCGTTGCAGTCGGCTCAGTTGGGACCGGTGGTGAAGCAGTTCGAGCTCTCCAATGAGGCCGTCGCCGCCGCGTACTCTGGTAACCTCGAGGATTTTGTGCGTGCTCTGCAAAAGAGTTTGCCAGAGGGGACTACCATGGACGCTGACACGGCTGGCACCAAGGAGCTACCGATATCCGACAAAAAAGCCGATTCTGAACCAGCAGCTAAGGAGGAAAATATCGAACCCTCCGAAAAGCCGGAGGAGAAACAGAAATAACCAAGTGCTAACAATTGCAATGCTAAATTGCACATAAAACATATTAATTAATGCGCTTAAAAACAACAACATTTAACAATAATTCAGTTTTGAATAAATCGGCTTAACAAATTTATTTTTTCCCCATTTTTATACTCTACATGAAATGTAGAAGGGTATATAAGGCTTGTGTGCGGGAAGTGAAAAATGTAACAGGAAGGAGGCGTGGCAGACTTCACAAAGTATATATGTACATATATTCTTGATCAGCAGCCCAGTCTGTCCGCCCGTATGAACATATGGATCTTTAATCTTGTTTTATTTTTTGACACACTCTATACGAGTTAGAGACACAAAATTTTAGTCCAAGGTGCGTATTCATAGTACATGTGTAATTCAAAAATTTCCTCCATCCCCCACTCCCTCGCAATTAGTGAGTTTTTTAATAGCTCCCATAATTCAAGCAAAATTGGCAAATACTTTTAGTTAGGCATTATGTGTCCATATCCCAAGATCCATCATGATAGGTCCATGGGAAAGGAAGGAAAGAAGATAAGTAATCTTTTCCCTCAGGTGTTGCAGCAACAACAACTCTGCCTGCTCTGGCCCAACTCTGTACTGCACCCACGGTCTCATACAATGCGCATACAAACTATTCCTATTTCCTTAATTTTTTTCAATATTTACAGAATATATGACTTTAGGACACACTACTTTAGCTTATCCACTTGTTTGAAAATATACACATTTATAGATAGGGGATTCTGTTTTAATTTAATTGAATTGAATTTTTGAAGTGTATGGCTAATATTTTAACGTTGGCATCAATAGGTTAAATACAGGTTCGCTTTGCATATGCTACTTACTATCTATCCCTTTCACACACTAATATGAATGTCTAAGCTGGGGCAAACTTTTGTAATGCACTGTGATGAGCGCTCTTCCACTCAGTCTCGCTCTCTCCCTATCTTTCAATCTCTTCCACACAGATACACACAGCTACATAGAATCGCGCATGGTTTGCAAAAACTTTTGGAGCAGAGCGCAGCGTCTGTGCGTCAAACTCAACCTCGACGCTCAGCTTGCTTTGAAGTATTTAGTAAATTTCAGATTCAAACAGCCAGCATACCACCAAGTTGTGTGTACAAAACGCGCGCCCAGCGAAAAATACACAAATTTCGTGTAATCGAACAAAAAATATTACAATCCACCCGACAACGTATCTACGTGAAAAATAATCAAATACCCTTAATGGTAGCTGAAAATGTCATTAAAAAAAGCTGAAATTTTTGACGCAAGTTTGCATTGTTGCTGCTGTCGTTGCTAGTGCTTTTATATTCATATGTACATACATACATACATATGTCCATACACACACAGATGAATCTACGTACATAGATATCTAGATGTTTACTGCTGTGTCTGTATGTATATAAGTATGTAAGTATATTTGTTTAATGCATGACTGCCCGCCGCATTGTTGAGATAAATAGTAAAGCTTTTTCTGTTGGTATAAAATAACGACGACAGGCCAAATAAAAACAAATGGAACCAAAAAAACAGAAAAACAAAAACTCAACAATTAGCAGTAGCGGTAGAGAGAGCGGTCAATAGATGTGTTGTTTCATACATACGTATGTGTGTGTGAAAGGGAGAAATTCGCAAAGTTGTTGTCTCACCAATAACTCACACACACACGAGCGAACAATCTTTGACTCACTTGTACACACATGCACACACACTTACTCGTAAGTAGCTGCAAAAAATATTGTGTAAAAACAAAAACAAACAAACTTTATGCAAAAATTTGTTCTTTAAAAACAAATAAACACGACAAAAAGTGAACGTTGAGCGAAAATTGCGACTTTGTGAGAGCGAGAAAGACACTGCGCGCGAGCACATAAATTATTGGCTATACCCGGCAACGATCTGGCAACACCAACAACAACAGCACCATCAGCAGAAGCAGCAGCAGCAGAAGCAAAAGAAATTGCGTTGCGGCTTGCGCTTTTACTTGCGGGAAAAACTTAAGCAAAACGACGGAACTCGTGTAAAATTTTATAATTTCAATGATTTAAAAATCATAGCGGAAATCACATAAAATCACGGTACTACTATACTAAATAAAAAAAGTTGTCCAAGTGCAAAGCAAAAAAAAAATTAAAGAAAAAGAACCATTCGACAAACGATTACTGCAAATTTTTTCTTAATGTGTACCATTGACTATTTTGCAATAAAAAATAGCAACAACAAGAAGAAATACGGACACTTCAACACCAAGCAGAACAGTATCAACATTAACAGCAGCAGCAACAACAAAAAGGCACAGTTTGTTGCTGATAGGAGGAGCAAATCCATAAAGCGCCTCGCATAGTCAGCTGCAAATAATTGTGCGATAAGGTGAGCAAACAACGCTCAGCCACATCAAAAGTAGTTGATTTGTTGTTGGTTTTGGTTGGGTGGATAATGGGGGAGGGCCCGACGGTAAGCCACTACAGTAAAAGCTCGGAGCCTAAGTGGGCGTTCAATGTACATATATCCGCTAAATTGCAGTTATGATGAAGATTTTGAAACTAGCCGGCAACCTTCCAAACACAGATATACACGCACACATACAGAAGGGTTAATAAAAGGGTGCTCGGTTGCTTGGCACCTGTATACAAAAATTTCCTGCCTACATTTTTCAATATTTTCCCAAAACAGCTGCACTCCCACGCGCCATTAAAGCGCGCGCCATTTTAACAAAAAAAAAAACACTGCCTGATACAAAAGTTGGAGAAGGAAAATAAACATGCATACATACAGACAAACACACACAAATGCAAGTAGATGGCGCCTGAGCATATGCTATGAGAATTTCAGAGAGCTTCATAACAGTTTGTGGGAGCGTGATAGCTATATGAGCGCGCATGATGCATGTTTGTGCATGTCATTGTGTGGACGCCGTGTTTATGTTTTGGTAGAAAGGTCACACAGGCGATTTCCCTCAGTTATCCGCCCACCGAACCCATCCACATCCTTGTACAATCCAAGGCTTATTGTACATACTCACACAGGTGAATTTTGTATTGAAGCTTATTGAAGGACAATACCAAAGCACTTTTCAAACTGCAAATGTATAGATAACTTTAAATTATGTGCACCTAATGGGGTTGTTTTATACAAACATATGTGTACATATGTTGTATGTATATGGGGGCTGTTAAAACTGACCATTATTCGCAGCTCCGGTTTTCTAGACACCTTCTCGCACACCTCCCCAAGTCTGTTATGCAAACCCCCTCGAATCTCATATTCATGCTAAATGTAAGTTGGTGTGTGTATGTATGTGTTGGTGTTGAACTTTCCGCCTAACAATTTGAAATTTTCCAATACGCTGCCCACACAATAGGAACTTATATAAAGCATAATGCTGAGCTTTTTCAACTTGACATTGAACTTGACAATGGCCTGCACACATACATTCACACATATGTACATATATACGAGTATGTATGTAAAAAAGTATGGACATATCTCCGAGCGTAAATTAAACGAACTTAAAAAATCGTTACAATGCAGGGTGTTGTTCGTTCGCATAACTTGTTAAAATGCGCAGCAGTAACAACAAAAACAGGGCACAACTTCAAAAAGCAGCTTTCACCAATTTGCAGACTGACTGCATTTCAACAGTTTGTTGTTTGTGCATGTGTGAGCGCGCGCATATATAAATATATATATATATATATAAGTGTGTGTATCTACCAGTAATGTGCATTTTGGCGCTAGCTCCAGACAATTTGATTTCTTTGGGTATATGCAGAAATTTTATCGATTTGCATTTTCTCCACACATTGTAGTATCTTGTTGTGTCTCTGCACGACAGATACACACACACACAAGTGGCCCGCCATTTTAAATGGTGGATGTAGACTCAAAAGCTTATGCATACGTAGAACGCGCATTGCAGACATTGTAGTGGGTGGCATTTGGGCGAATCATCGGGAAGGGGACTGCGTAACTTCGCACACATTGCAACCCATTTTACACACACACACTCAACTGCGAAACTTTAGGGTGGAGGTCAACACATTTGGAAAGAAACTACATAAAAAAAAAGAATGTATCTAAAGATGAAAGTGAAATTTGTGTTTCTTCGTTTACTTCTTCATATTTCTCTTTGGCTGCCTTTCCTTTCACTTGTTTGCTCTATTTACCAACACACACCTGTTTAACCCTTAAGTGCACCAACAGCAGCAAAAAATTATATATAAATATTACATATATTATATACATATATATATATAAACAAATTATATAAAAATATATATGTACATATTGGTAGATGGGTTTCATAGGTGCAAACATCTTATTTAAATTACGATCGAATTTTAGGGGAGCTCAAGGCAAACTACATTCATGAAATGTTTGGACTTATAAGTATAAGCAATTCTATTGCTATTATAAATGCGCTTTGTAAAGCTGTCAGAGATCCTTGTTGGTGAGCTTACAAGTTAATCTGATCAATTAATATTGGCAGCCAAAGCTATTGTCTTTTTGTTATCCTGTTGAAGTAGACAAAACATCTATGCATTTCTCAACTTGATATTCGAATTAACAAATTGTTTGTAAAAAAGGTGTTCAAAGTAAACAAAGATTTTATTTCTATTAGTTTTGTGATCAACGTTTTAATCATGATATGTTTTTGATCAACTAAATCATTTTATATTATATATATTTCGAACTCTTCAATAACAACTAGGCGAGTGAGAAAACAGAAACCATATTCTTCCTATCAACTGTTATATGATATAAGAGTCCAATTTGATTTACAACTTGCAATATTAATGGTTATAACAGCTAGATCTCCAGTATCTCGGATTAGATTCTTTAGATATCTCTCGGATGTATTATCCGATATAATTATAAATTATTTATCGATATCTTGAGAAATCTTCAAATGATATTCCCTCAACTTAATATAAGTATAATGTTTGGCAACTTTTGAAAAAGGCCATCGCAAGAGATAACAAAAACGGTTTTAAAAAATAACATGGTTTCTCTAAAAAACATTTATTTAATAATAAATAATAATTATTTAAAAAAAAAATAAACGACGTAAAATGCTTTCCTATGACTTACGGTTTCTATTAGTAAATAAAATAAACTTTGTCGGCGCATGAGTAAAATGGCGATCAAGAATTGTTCATTGTGTAAAATTCTATATTGTTTAGAATGTTTTCCCACCTTTTTGACGTGTCTCTGTTGAATTCCATATTACGTCGTTGAATATAGGGGCTCAAATAATGCAAGTACAAACCATAATTACACACATTCGAAATATGTATGTAAATAGCCAAATCGACTTTGGTCTCATTTCTGATTTATAAAAACTGCAGCTAACCTTATAGTATATTTAATTTTACATATTCAGTTTTTTCACACCATTATCATATATATATATATATATATTTCCTTCCTCCTCCTTTTCTAATGAGCGAGCAACGTTGTTAATACCTGACCTCCTAAGTGAGGTGCAATTATGAATTTGCAGTTCCAACTCCCCAGGAACCACTTAACTAAATTATAAGTCTTGGCATGACTTGACAACCAACTGACTGGCTCCATCGTTTGCTCCTTCTCCCTTCGCTTTCATAATAGTACCAGCCTGCAAGCTGTCCCATTTTTGTAATACATATATTTTTTGCGAACAGCAGATGATTTTCCGGTTTGTTAGTGAGAAGCGAAAAAGTCGAACTGTTGCCCAAAACTGGTTTCGGGACCGTCTAGCATCCACTGGCTGGTTGAACGCTGCCCTTTCGAGCAGTCGTGAAAAAATACAATACAGAAAAGTTATACATTTTAAAGCTTAAATTTTAATGTGCAAGTGCAAATGTTTTGCTTTGGCAGACGCAACTCATGTTTTAAAATTCAACAGGCTTAATGGTTATAAATCGGGATAATATAAAGGCCACCAAGACGGTGGCGCAAACAAAACAAAAGGCGAATGTGTAGAAACTCTCCTCCGTGAAGACATCAGAGAAAGCGGGTATGTCCTGATAGATCTGCTCAATGACAGCCAATGTGCCCTTGTGCTTCTTCACCATGATGCCACAGTTGAGCCCGTAACTAGATAACCTCCCTGGAATTTACTTTTTCTTAGGAGCTTTTTTGCCGCCGCCACCACCAGCAATTTTCTGTTTCTCGGCCTTGGTCAGTACCTTGGTCGCTATTTCTTCGGGTGGGGCTAGCGTAGAAACGTGCTTATTGTATAGCTGCAGCAGCTCCAGAGTAGACAGATTTGAACTTCTAAAACGTATCTCTTTGGCCTTGGCCAGCTCTGCAAGAAACTCAATTATTAAATGGCATTTAATTGGATCAGATTATACTACCTTGTGCTGATTCGATGAGGGAAAATTTAATCTGTGCCGGCTGGCGATCACAAACTATATCTGTTTTAACAACACACTTAGGATTCGTCTGCGTTACCTTTGGCGTTGAGAGCAGGAATAGAAACTCACTGCAATAGAAGAAGAATGCATTAATAGGCAGATCGTGAAATATTTATTGATTTATTCTATTATTGATTGTTCATTTCAGCTGTCTCCATAAAACTCATTCTGGGCATAGCAGGAACGCTTCAAACTGACGCCGACACCGACTAAAATGTCAACGGAGCGTGAGCTGGCTCCCGGCGGGCCAGCTCAGCTTCATACGCTGCCGTTGACATATCCCGATCTGGGCACTACATTGCAACTGAACTCGGTGGGCATCATTGGGAAAGCATATGGTAAGTGTGCAGAAGTGTTGGCAAGTAGATCCACATATGTACATACATATACTTACATATATACATATACACATGTACGTTTTACTTCAGTTGTTATTCGTATCTTTTAATTCGATGCACTGAACGGTTTTTAGTTTTTATCTTTTACTACTTTACGTACCTTGCGTGCTTTTGTTGCTAGAAAATTTTTTCTATTTGCTGCCAAGGCACGCATTGCGCATGTTTCATAATCGATAAGTAATTCGGGAAAAGCGCTTTTCCAACCCTGTTCACCAGCCCCCCACTACATTCCCCTACATACATATGTATACACACCCACACTTACCGTGTGGACTTAACATTTTCCGCGAAAGGATCGAACTGTACGGTTACGCGTTTTACTCCTTTTAAATTAACGCTCTTCAATTGTTTGCCAATAGCTGAAACAACACCGCCTGAGCGCCGCAGAGTACCACTAAATGGTATCGACATATTGTTAATATTTAATAAAAATTACATAAATTGCTCCTCAACAACACAAATATCGGCTTGCCGCAACCAGATTGCAGACATATCGCTCTTATCGTGCTATCGACAATCAACGCATAATTTGGCCGCACTTTGTGAAAATTATTGGCAACACTGCAGAAAAAGTGGTAGCATTGTACGTTGCAATGTATTGTCGTCTCACTCCCATGCACGAGCAGCTGAGACCCAGAGTGCTTTGCCCTCATTTATAAGCGGTCAGCGTGTACAGCATGCGTCACACTCACACACGTCGCAAGAAAATTTGTGTGTTTGCTGCGGACTTTGCTGTGTGAAAAACGGAAAAGATTTTTGCATAATATAATGCAGTGCGCGGCGTGAAAAGTGTACAAAACGTTCCGAAAAACAAAATTCAATAGTCGCCCCACTGTTTTGTAATATTAGCGAGCAGCGCAAACGTTTTTAGTGCACAAAAACGACGTCTTGAAAAACTTCGTGCACACATTTAAGCTGCCTTGCCTTGCCTGCTGCCTCTGCCTGCCAGTACCAGCCACCAAACGCATACAAAAGCATTTCTTGCTGTACGTACAGAAGAAGCAGAAAGAAGCCACCGCCGTTGTCGTCGTCGTTTGTCCAGCGGAGCACCCAGCAGCACAAGCTCACACACACGCAAATTGAGCAGCAAGCAAGATAAATAATAGAGAATTTTTCTTAATTGTATTACAAAAAGAAATTCAACGACGGATTAAATATATACATATGTATATCTACATACATACATAAATAAAACGAAAGCTGTGCCTACATTTGTGTTCTTTTCCATAAATAAATTAATAGAAAATATTATTAATAACAAATTACAATTACAACAAAAAGCAGAGAGAGACTCAACCCCAACTCAAATAAGTAGATGTTTTTGTAAGCGTGTGAGTGTGAAATTCCAATTGAACAGAAGAAAATTTAACGCCTACCACGCCCACGCGCACCTACGTACAACAATAATAACAACAAATGCAAAAATCAACCAAACGAATAATACTACTTTAAAGTGTGATAAGCAAAAGGCTGAAATCAAATACAACAAAAACAAAAAAGAACTAATAATTAGTAGAGAAACAAAAACCAACCAACAATCAATTACATTTATAACACAACAACACAAATACATACACACAACTTTGTATACCTACTTATTTCTTTAAAAAAATCACTAGTGCAAAATGTATCCTGTTGGACAACGTAAGTGGCGCGATCATACTTTTAAAAATATAAAGAAAAAATAAATATTACACTGCCACATGCTCACACATATTTACTACATCTTTACATCAACCAATACCTTGCCCTAAGTGACCCTCTAACGCCCACTAATAAACACATGTGTGTCTCCGTGTGTATGTGTGTGTGTACACTATTTGATGTTCTGCTTTTTGCGTCTGCGACTGCAAGCCCATTAAACATACACATGCTCACACTACACACACTGACTTTGCAAATACAATTTGCCATTGCGCAGTTGTTGTTGCTGCTGTATTTTACAGGCATCAATGACTTCACACCGACATCGTAATGAAAATGAATGAATGTGTAAAATGACGGACAACAGTTCGGAGCCGACAGTTTCGTCGAAAAATGCAAATGTTGCATAGCCGTAGTTGTTCGTGGGGGTATTTGGTTATGGGACGGTTGATATGGTTGTGAGGGTGGCGGAAGGGGTATGAAGAATATACTCGTACATGCAAAGTCAGATACATAGATAGTGGACCTAAAGGCAGACACGTGCTTGGTTTTCATTTGCAGAATTAGGTCAATGACCGTTGGGTCTGCGGCGCATGCAAAATACATAGCCTGGTATGGCAGTGTTGCCTCAGGAAAAGCTAGATTATGAACTGAGGCAACCTTTGTATGATTATCTTTATTAATATCAAATATTTGTACATACATATGTAAAAGTTTAAGGAAAAATGTGCTTTTTCATTTGTTGTCTTAACTTCTCAAACTCTTCCGTTTCATTGATGTCAGTAAAGTTTGTTCCAATTCGTTGAATTTTGGAACATATTTTTGTATTAATTACAATTTTGATTTTAAAATCAATATTATACTCACGTATATAGTGAAATGAAAATTACATTTTTTCTTATTTTGCTTTATAAAAAGAACCTCTTCCAAAACCACTATTTCTATTTATCGGCATTTCGAAAGTTCAAAACTGACGGCAAAATAATTGAAGTGGCCACACTGTTCTGTTGTCATAGTCGTAGGGTTGTCACTTATTTGTGGCTGCGTAATTGAATGGTAGTTAGGTTGGGGGGGTTGTCGTCATTGTTGTTGTTCGTTGCAAATGTCAAAAGGCGATGCTTAGTATTGCGACGCATATTGCTTTTTATTTTTATTTTGCGCATTAAACTATTATAGGGGAGTTTTGCATATTGCCGATCGTGATATTATTTGGCACTCATATTAAGTCGGGCATAACAATACCATTCTCAGTCAGACTAACATTGTTACATTCATACATACACATGTATAAACTTTAAACGATGTCTAATCTTACACACTCACACAAACACCACTTAAAATCACCAAGTGTGGGACAGGTTATGACATCAAATGGCAAGGGAAAGAAAAGTTCCATTTCATTGTAAAAATAAGGAAGCATATTATCTATAAATAATAATGATGCTGACAAACTGTAACTAAAATATTAATCGCACTCTATTTTTATCGCCTTTTCTTTTCATTTATTTATTTTGATTTGATTTAATTGATATTTGGTTTTACCAACAAAAATAATTGGCTATTTTCTTTTATTTCATTTCTTTTTTTTTTACATTATTTTGTGTTTTATTTTTGAAAATTTTGTTTTGATTACATTTTCTTTTTATAGAGTCACAGTGGACCCCCTCGCCCACGCGGCCTCAGAGTCCCTCTCAGGCGCAGACTAGCTTCGACACGCTCACATGTAAATTTCTCTCCAAAAATTACAAACAAAACCAACTACTAAAACTAAAATTGAAATTCTAAAAGCAACAACTGTTTATGCTCTTTAATTACTGTTTAAAAAAAAGAGTTTCAAAGTTTATACTAACAAAAAAAAAACATCACTAATTTCTACTCGTATAGTATTGTGCAAAATTTCTTACTAACAAAAATTGTTTCTGTTTCGTATATGTATGTAAATTTGTTTGTTTTGTATGCAAAGTGCACTTGAAATAACAAAAAGAATTTTAAACTTAACACCAGTACACTACTACTCTACACAAAACGCTAAACAGTGTATTTTAGCATTTATTGTTTAGAAGTCAAAATACTTGTTTGCATGTTTCGTTAACTGTAGCTTTTTCTTAAATTGTTTAGACGTTAAATTTTGGGAAACGCTGCTTAGAAGGATCACGATTAATGTTCCTTGCTTTTTGCAGCACCGCCAGCACCAGGCTCATCAGTCAATCCCACCGCTGTCACCAGTCCGAGTGCGCAAAATGTGGCTGCCGGTGGTGCCACGGTTGGTGGCGCTGCAGCGGCCGCCGCCGCGCAAGTCGCCTCCGCTCTGAGCTCAACGGGCAGCGTTACTGCCGCCATTGCCACCGCAGCGCCCGCTGCTCAACCGGACATGCCCGTCTTCACGTGTCCACGCCGACCCAATCTCGGTAGAGAGGGCCGTCCAATTGTGCTGCGTGCCAATCATTTCCAGGTGACCATGCCCCGCGGCTACGTGCATCACTATGACATCAATATACAGCCGGACAAGTGTCCGCGCAAGGTGAATCGCGAGATCATTGAAACTATGGTACATGCGTACAGCAAAATCTTTGGCGTGTTAAAGCCTGTGTTCGATGGGCGGAATAATTTGTACACGCGCGATCCACTGCCCATTGGTAATGAACGTCTGGAGCTGGAGGTGACACTTCCCGGTGAAGGAAAGGATCGCATCTTTCGGGTGACAATTAAATGGCAGGCGCAGGTGTCACTCTTCAATCTAGAGGAGGCACTCGAGGGGCGCACGCGACAGATCCCTTATGATGCCATCTTGGCTCTGGACGTTGTTATGCGGCATTTGCCCAGCATGACGTATACGCCAGTTGGACGCAGTTTTTTCAGCTCTCCCGATGGCTACTACCATCCACTGGGCGGTGGTCGTGAAGTTTGGTTTGGTTTCCATCAGAGCGTGCGTCCTTCGCAGTGGAAAATGATGCTCAACATTGATGGTGCGTATCGAACAGAGATAAGATTATGTTTTAAACCGATATTTTTAATATGTATTACGTAGCCAACTAGGAAAAAAGTATTAGAAATTCTAATTTAGAATATATTTAAAAAAAATGAAATTAACCTTTTATCGAAACCAATAGGTAATTGCAATTCATTGCTAATTTGAACATCCATTTTGAAAACATCTTTAAATGGTAAACAACGCTTCAAAACATTGAATTAAATAATGCATTAGCATTTTTAAAATTAGGTTGTTTAGTTTATGTTTGAAACATTACACAGCATCAGATTTCGCATTGCTATTAGCTATTTCGATAGGGGAATTTACGTTTCAATAAAAATATAATTAAATAATTGTTGTGTTCTCTATTAGTTTCTGCAACGGCATTCTACAAGGCGCAGCCCGTAATTGACTTCATGTGCGAGGTGCTGGACATACGCGACATTAATGAGCAGCGCAAGCCATTGACAGACTCGCAGCGCGTCAAGTTCACCAAGGAAATTAAAGGTCTGAAGATAGAGATCACACATTGCGGACAGATGCGTCGCAAGTACCGTGTGTGCAACGTGACACGACGTCCAGCTCAAATGCAATCGTAAGTATGCGAGGGCGTGGACTATTTCATCTCATAACTACTCTACTTTTCAATCTGTGTAGCTTTCCACTGCAGCTGGAAAACGGTCAGACTGTCGAGTGCACTGTGGCCAAGTACTTCCTGGATAAATATCGCATGAAGCTGCGTTATCCTCACCTGCCCTGCCTGCAGGTGGGCCAAGAACACAAGCACACCTATCTGCCGTTGGAGGTTTGCAATATTGTCGCCGGTCAACGCTGCATCAAAAAGTTGACGGACATGCAAACCTCGACCATGATCAAGGCCACGGCACGCTCGGCTCCAGATAGGGAGCGCGAGATTAATAATTTGGTGAAGCGCGCTGACTTCAACAACGACTCATATGTGCAGGAGTTTGGTCTGACCATATCAAACTCCATGATGGAGGTGCGCGGTCGTGTGTTGCCACCACCAAAACTGCAGTATGGAGGTCGTGTGTCTAGCATCACGGGTCAACAGCTGTTCCCACCACAGAACAAAGTGAGTCTTGCGTCGCCCAATCAGGGCGTTTGGGATATGCGCGGCAAACAGTTTTTCACCGGGGTCGAGATACGCATATGGGCCATTGCTTGTTTTGCTCCACAGCGCACAGTGCGCGAAGATGCGTTGCGAAATTTTACGCAACAGCTGCAAAAGATCTCAAATGATGCGGGCATGCCAATAATTGGACAGCCCTGCTTCTGCAAATACGCCACTGGACCGGATCAGGTGGAGCCCATGTTTCGTTATCTGAAGATAACATTCCCGGGATTGCAGCTCGTTGTGGTGGTGCTGCCGGGAAAGACCCCTGTCTATGCGGAAGTAAAACGAGTGGGCGACACTGTCCTGGGCATGGCTACCCAATGTGTGCAAGCCAAGAATGTAAACAAGACGTCGCCGCAAACTCTATCCAATTTGTGCCTGAAGATCAACGTGAAGCTCGGCGGCATCAACTCTATACTCGTTCCCTCCATTCGACCTAAGGTCTTTAACGAACCAGTTATCTTCTTGGGCGCCGATGTTACGCATCCTCCTGCAGGCGATAATAAGAAGCCATCAATCGCCGCTGTTGTAGGCTCGATGGATGCGCATCCCTCGCGTTATGCTGCCACTGTGCGCGTTCAGCAACATCGCCAGGAAATCATCCAGGAGCTGAGCAGCATGGTGCGTGAGCTACTCATAATGTTTTACAAATCCACCGGTGGCTACAAGCCACATCGCATTATACTCTATCGCGATGGCGTCTCCGAGGGCCAGTTTCCGCATGTGCTCCAGCATGAGCTGACAGCCATACGTGAGGCTTGCATCAAACTGGAGCCAGAGTATCGGCCAGGCATCACATTCATTGTGGTGCAAAAACGTCATCACACACGTCTCTTCTGCGCTGAAAAGAAGGAGCAAAGCGGCAAGTCGGGCAACATACCAGCAGGCACCACAGTTGATGTTGGCATAACACATCCCACGGAATTCGACTTTTACTTGTGTAGCCATCAGGGCATTCAAGGCACTAGCCGGCCCTCACATTACCATGTTTTGTGGGATGACAACCACTTCGATTCCGATGAGCTTCAATGCCTGACCTATCAGCTGTGCCACACTTACGTCCGCTGCACCCGTTCCGTGAGCATACCAGCACCAGCTTACTATGCGCACTTGGTGGCATTCCGTGCCAGGTAAGTGGCAAATCTTGCTTAGTGATTATATTCATAACCTACATATTATAACCTCGATTGAGGTTTGAAGTGAAAAATTTGTAAGTAAGGGAATCAAGTTATAACAACGATCCTTATTCAAAAATCCATTGAGATTTGAACTGGGAAACAAAATGAATTTGAAAATAAGGGAACCATTATGGAACAATGTTCGCTAGTATTTGCTGCATGAGAAATTATATATAAATACAAACTTTAAAAAACCAGAAGAAAGCAGGGAGGTCTGACTCATTTTAAAGACTTTCGATATCACTTTTATACGACAATAAAATTTAAGGAAATTGCTAGAAAACAAATATTAGGAATTGAAGACCGAACACATAACAATCTTAAGCACGCGGATTATTCTGCCATTCATTTGTATATTTGAAAAAATAGTACTTGGAATAGATTATATGTAGGTTAGAACATATGAGGAAAGAGTGAAGTTTGATTTTGGTGTTAATTCCGAATTATTCTATTGCAGATATCATCTGGTGGAGAAGGAGCACGATTCCGGTGAGGGATCGCACCAGAGCGGCTGCTCAGAGGACCGCACGCCGGGGGCTATGGCCCGTGCTATTACCGTGCATGCGGATACCAAGAAGGTCATGTACTTTGCCTAAAAAGTATACACCACCTGCTCCAAACAACAGAAAAACGAAACAGCCAAATACAAAAGAAACGAGAAAAGTTGCAGCCTCACATTTCGGACATTGATTGCATTCGAATAATGCGTTTGAAGCCAAGCATATTTATAACTATTAATTAGCCAGTAAGTCGTATAGTTTTTTGATTTATAAATGAGTTTTTAGATTTTTCAAAAGAACACGAACACCACAAAACAATATTAGTTTTTAGATACTTCACAACAAACAAACCAACAGGCAGAAACTCGGAAGAAATACAAGAGTAATCGAATGTCAGCACAAGTTTGCGCAATTTAGGGGGAAACCAAACTAATATCAAAGGAATATGTTAAACAAATGTGAAAATTCTCAAAAAAGCATAGCAAACAAAAACAATGGGAACAAAATGCAAAAACATCAGAAAAATACTAAACAGAGCAACTAAAAGCAAATACACGAGAAAACAAAACACACCTTATTGTCAAGTAGAACGAATGTCCAGTAATTGTACATTTAGAGTTATGCATAATATATGAAATATATTTTTGCACAATACGTTGAGAAGAGAAATAACTGAGAAATTGCATAGAACCAAAGGTTTTTTTTAGAGCATACTTCGAAAAGTGAAAGCAGTTGCTGATTTACAAACAAGCACCAACATACACAACCACATAGACACAAATTCACAAACATTCAAATAAACAACAAACCCAACAACAACATCAACACGCAGACACATTTCAAAAGAACTTGAATTCTCTGTACTGTGAACGAAGACAACCACCAAACCAAGCGTTAAACAAGCAAACAAACAACTCGATAAAACATTGAAAATTGTAATAATAATTAGCAATTAAATTTACTTCAATAGCACGTGCATATTGTCAAAGGAATAAAATACATTTAATAGTTATTAAGTTGGGCTTTACCAAAAACAAACAACACGAAAAGTAAACATCATAAACAAATAATGATTGACAGAGGCAACTGCGTTGAAATGATTAACGCAAAAGGCCGATTTCAATTCGTCTTTTGTTTATGTAAGCAAAGCGATATCAATATACTTTGTATTTAGAATGGTGACAGTGACAAAAATACTTTTATTAATTTATACAAATACATACTTAATTTTTCAAAGTGCAAATATCACGCAATTTTCCATGCTGACTCCTAACCATATAATATATTTAATTTAGTTACCTAACTGAAATGCTAACAACAACAAATTAAAAAAAGCATTATTATTTATAAATTTAACAAAGACACACGCATATTTGTAAAACGAGAAACGACACCAACAAAACGTTTTATGGCATATCACTCAATGTTGCATATTTGTATACAAATTTTTGGCTATTTATTATTTTTTAAATTGTATATTTTCCCACGCCCTTTTCAACTATTATACTTTAATTATACACATTTTTTAAAACAAATTCGCCTGGAGAGTGTCTCTTCGCACCATATTAACCTAAGTTTATTTTAATCTGATGTTTTATTATTTGTAGAAATTGCTAACATGGTGTACGGGTAAAAACTAGAATACTATTATATATATATACATACATTTTTTTCATTCAACACACACAAATTCAATTTCAGTAAATACTTTTTGGAATTTTGTACAAAAGTATAGATAGTTTTAGTTTTATTTTCAAACTTAAAGCATAAAACAACAAATGGAGAATAATATTACACAAATAATTACTATATATCGAATTATATCAAGATGGACACAGTTCAAGTTAACATTATGCTCATTTGTTATTTAAGCGTTGCGCGGTATCAGCGCCATTTGTTTCTAAATAACTCTCTGCAGCTACCCGCTAAACGATAGCAACTGAAATAAAAAGGCAGCCGTAACCATCATACGAAATGCAACAAATATCTGTTAATCTTAAGTTGACCATCTTTGCAAAATTGAGTGTGCATTATTATTACTCGTAAATATTTGATTTACACAACACAATTAAACAATTAGTTTATAAACGATGCCAAGCGACAAGGGGAAAAAAACGAGAGAAATTAGCCAAGCAGGAAAGCAGAAAATGTTTATTAGCAACAGCGTGTATTTGTATTTTGTTGATAAAACACATAATTTAGTCGAAACTTTTTTGTAAATTAACGTTTCAACACAAGGGATTACAAAATAAAATTTAACATTTATTTCTTAAATATTTACTTAAATTAACAATACAAACGAAACAATACAAAACATGTCAAGCATTAGCATATATGTAAATGCATACATAAATATGCAAAACAACACAAACAGAAAGCCAATTTTAGTTTATAAGATTAAATTGTCATCAGTTGAGATGTAAACGAAACAATGCAATAACAGAAACAAAAACAAATACGAAAGGCAAAAGCATTAAAATTTGTTTTTAAGAAGGAAACCATTAGACGGCAATATGTCTCAGCTGTGGCCAACTGCAGAGCCAGACACACGTCGTATTCTCGTATTCTTTATAAGCTAGCATGTAATAACAAAATGCAAATATTTAAGCGCTAGACCACAGCTGCAGCAGCAGCCTAATGGTAATAGGAAAACATTTTTCAAACAACACCAGCAAGAACACCATTTGTTTTTAATTTAAGCTTAAATGTGTCGACAATTAATGCATCTCGTAAATTTAAATTTAAAAAACAAAAAGGACAAGAAGTATAAAGCTTTAACCACTCGCAAAACAAAATGAAAATAAGGAAATACAATACATTAATAAAGCCAATAACAAAATCAAACAAGCAACCAGCAGCAGTTAAAAATACATAAACAATAAATAATAATACTTAGAACTTGTGATTAAGATTGAAGAGAGAAAAAACAACAATTATCGTCTTTATATATATACATACATATATAGCATTATATAAAACTGACAAAGCAAAATAAAAGTTTGTACATGTACACGAGTATATCCAACTATAGTACATGTGTATGATGTACCATATATATGTACATACTTATGTCTATTTCCAAAGGTAAACACACAATTTGAAATGGTTTCTTCATTGTCGTGCAGCTAAACTATTGACAGATTAGTGGGTCGTGCATGAGAAGAAGCTGCTGTACGAGTCTCCAACTCCTCAACTATCCCATCAATGAGGGTATGACTTTTTAAACTATTCTCAAAGCAACAGTTAACAACTGGTGCCATTTCTCACAAAGTTTACATCCCATAATCAGATCATTCGGACATGAAACCATTCACTCCACCAATTCACTCCTTCCGAATAATTCAATCAGATTGGAATATTGAGAGTCCAAACAGCACATAAAATTTTAAAAAATAACTTACAGTGAATACTCCTGACTTGTATTGAATTTGAATTGAATGGGGAGCCCCACCGTGATTTTTCTATCACTAAAGAGCTCTTTAGGAGTGATTTACAAAGAGTACAGCTTCTTCTGTCCTAATTCCCATACAAAAGATATCGATGTCTAGTGTATACAACTCAAGCAGCACTTCTCCTTTTATCTGTCAAAACATATACTAAATTGAGCTTTAAACTTTGAAAAACAAATTAACAAAGATCAACATGTTTACTGAAACTCAATAATATACTAAATTTAACAAACAACAAAAATGAGTAGTCTTAAGTAAACTTATAGATGTCTATGATTAACTTTCGTATATACTTATACATATATAAAAATACTTTATATATATATGCAGAATTCATAGAAGCTACATAAACAGCATTGCACAACTCTTCCTAAAGGAAATAAAATCAATTTATGACACAATTAAACAAAAATTATCCACGAACATGACGCGGACTAACTCTCCAAGCAATTATATACGTTACTTATGTGTGTGTATTTATGTACTTTACTCTTCCAATTAGTCCCCACAGAGAGCCCTCCCAAGAAATGCGTGGTGATCAGCCACATACTTATGTGTGTATGTAAAGACAGTCCACTTCACTCCACCAGGTCCACTTTTGCTCCAGTTAGTGCTCCTTAACAAAACAGAGAAACAAAAACAAAACACAACAACAAATGGGAAAAAGATGAAATCCTTAGCTGAAATTTGACTAGAAAAAATCTTGAATGTAAATCAAAGGTATCATAACAATATGGAAAGCTTAAAACTTGTATGTGTACGAATATTAAATATGGTGACGAACCTTTACTTTAAACCAAAATGCCGGGTAATTATTCAATAAAAGTAATATTTTACATTATTTAAGAATATACTTATGAATAATATTAAAAAAAAAAACAAAAGAGAAACGTAAGCAACGTAAATATGGGAAATCTGTAACTTTGGTGATCTTTTTAAATGTTATTAGTAAAACATATTTAAAAAAAATACAAATCAAACAAGTTCTAAATGTGACTTAAAATACGACGTAAACATTTTTCCACACAACAAATAAAAACAAAACAAGTAAATCATCAATTAAGAATTCTAGGGTCGTGAGTGCTCGACTAGGAAAATAATTTCCTGTGTCCACATTCAAATGCGGTGATGAAAAGACAAATGACAAAATGTTTACGCACTTCTAACGGTTAAAACCTTCTGGCTATCACCACTTCTAGTTTTCCTAAAGCCTACTTCCCATCTGTCTGATTCTGAATCTGTCCGATAACTGGAACGACTAGCTAAGACGAATTCAGCATTAACGATAGCGTTCAACAGTAGTGTATCTAGATTTGGGCCTATCCTGTCTGTACAATTGATATCCTTCCAATTCGTTTTACACGGGCACAGGTTATACCAAAAAATGTAAAACAATTAACATAATTTCGATGACAATTACAACTGTTTTAATTCTTAAGGCGCTTAAACAAAAATACAAATACAAAACAATGCAATTAAGTTTATAGTAAAAATCCAATACGCATATGTTTTATACAAAATTTTGACTTGCAAGTGAATATGTGTGTGTGAACGAATTCACATTTTATAACATTCGTTATTTTAAAATTTTAATTAGTATTGACAATTAATTTATACATTGGAATTTAAAAATAAATACAGAACAATGCAGACACCTATTTTCTGTTCAATAAAATATTTAACAAACCAATAAACGTATTTCATTTATTGCGACCCACTTTTCCATCAGAATACTATGAGCGTTTCTATTTCCAAAGCGCTAATTCATTTATTCCACTTAGACGAATACTATTGCTACACTATGATATGTGAAACGAAAGAAATTTTCGGAAACGTTTCAACTGATCAACCAACGAGTCTAGGGTAATAATTGTTTTCGTCGTGGTATAAGCGATCCATGTATAGATTGAAACGTGCGTGAATTTTATTAAAAAGCACCCAAAATCTTGTATTAAATTAATGAAAATAAAATAGGACCAATCATTGAAAATAAAGACACTTTTTGTGGGATAAGTAATATTTTTTTGCTTATTACAATATCTTAAGCCTGCCTGGTAGTTATGCGATTTTCATTTAAAGCTTGATATTTTAAAGTTTTAATCAAAATCGGTGTACAATACCATATGAAATTTTATTAAAATCGCTGCCCTATATAATCGCTGATGTTTGTAAAAAGAAAATATATACTTTTCTATCAAAAACAAACATACAAAAGATCGATTTAGCACAGCGCGTATATTAAACTTTTGTTTTTGTTGTACTCATATGTTTTAAAATTTGCGCCGCTTAGACAAATATGCAAACAGCCAACCAACTGTAAATGCGAATGACAAATAGAAAATCCGCCCATCGAACGCACGCACAAATGTCGAGTAAAAATGTAGTTGCATTGAAAATGGGCAAACAGAAGATAAAAGATACACAATAATAAAGGCACGTTTTCGTCTCTCACTCTCTAATTATTTATGCTGCATAAATGTCAGAAGCACAAAATGCAAAAACAACCGAGCAGAACATTAAAGTAGCGCGAACACGACTGCTGGATACTCTGTGCACGAAACCACGAAATGCACAGCACAAACGGTAAGAGGAAGTTTTCTTTAATATTAAGTTTTCTTTTATGGCATTGGTGAGCACTCAAAAGCGATTTAGGAGAACTCAAACTCTAAAGGTGAGAAAGAGTACTCCAAAGTTTGTTTGAGAAATTGTCATTTTTTAAAAAAAATCGTGGGCTTTATATTTCTATTCACATTTTCTTTAAGTTTTTAATGTAATACTATAATATATAGCTCTGCGTACGTACATATCCCTATTCCAATTCATATAGTACATATGTATATTTTCAGATGCACTTGAATTATACCAACTAAAACAGTTGGCTTGAACATGCCTTACACTATTTTGAAATGGATATTATTATTAACTTAATAAGTCTCAGAAAGTGTAAAGGCTTGGGGAAAACATACAGAACTAGTTTGGTGTTTCAAGATCTTACACTTACCGCGATCTTTGCTTTTATACAAATAGACGGGCAGACAGACCATCAGATCAGTTTTAAAACATGGCATGTAAGTCAAGATAAAGATCTTTGTTGGGTGTGGCGAAACCCCTATTGCTTGTTAAAAATACCCATTCGGGTATAGGGTATAAAAACACGAGATTCAGAAAACACACCCCCCGCCCCTATTGCAAAGACTGAGTGCAGACTGCTGTCGCTCTTCAGCAGCTCAAAGCTTGGCTCAAAATTCAGTCGGTCAGCGAGCGCGCTTCTGAGTTGTTGTGTGTTCTGCGTTTCGTGTGTGCGTGTGTGGGCGATTGGGTGGACGACGAGAGGGTGTGTTCGGTCGGTTGGCTTCGCAGTTTTTGTTGTTGTTGCAGTCGGCACCTTTAAGTATTAAACTAATTATGTGCAAAAGCATAGCCGTTATTGATAACGAAAGCAATGGCACGATGAAGAGATTCGAATTATAAATCGTTTAAGTTTTATTATAATTGATTCTAAACAACGTGTTCCTAAGCAAAACGCAGCACAATTAAATTTTAATAGTGAATAATCATAGAGTTGAAGGAGCCAATCAGAAATGGGTAATTGATTCAACGGTATTAACATTTAAAATAAGTTATTAGCTAATATCCCAGATAGGTCGGCTCGATTCATTTTAGTTGTCGGTGCATGGCAGTCATTAGCTTTTGTTGACATTTCCACTTTCTTTTGCGGCATGCCGTTCCATTGATTCTTTGGCTGTGTTGCCTTGAAAGTGAAAGCGCTTGGTGGAAAACAGCTGGAAAATATGCAAAGAAAAGTTTTGCATGCCAAAAACTGAGGGACTGTCGCGCCCAGTGGGACAGCGGCTGGGGCAGCGACAGCGACAGCCGTTAGCCATGGCTTGTGATTAATGATATTCTGACCTATTCCATCAAGTCGTAATTAAATATACAAATATACATATATATAGACGTGGATATAATGTAATTAATAAACGACATCCGCAAAATAAAACTCGTGAGATTTCTGGAGGCGATTGGTTGACACCAATGCTTAGTAACATACATATATGAAGCACTCTTACATAAGGTTACTTATAACTACGAGATGTCTGCACTGATATATTACACAAACGCACTGGACTTATAAAATAAAATAACTATTTAGGCTACACCAAGTCTCAAGTATTTACTATATAGTAAATAAGCATTTGGAGATATTCTACGTGCTCGTGCATCAAGTAAGCAGCAATCTCTAAGAATTCGAATAGGCACGTCTGAAGAATGTGAAAGGTGAACACGAAGAAGCATGTTTTTCAACATTTTTGGGTGCTATGATGGCCTTGGGATGCCTATTTTTAACTGATTTAGTTTGCTTTTGTTTTTTAAATATTTCCAATTAAAAAAGGTCTACAAAATTCCGAAAATTGCCCCAAATACAGTTCCAAAAAAATTAAACATGGATGGTAGTTACTTACTTTGCACCTAATATACCCTGTCAAGCGTTTTGCGTATGCAATGTGTATTTATAGCAACATTAATGATATACCCATTTTACTCGTAGGTTGTTCGACATAAACAGTTGCTATAGTATTATGGTATTCGGGTTGATTCCGTTTGATTTTCAATGGAAATACACCACTGTTTCATTTTTTAAAGAACAGTTTTCGTTCATGAATTTGTTTTCAATGCTGTCTATCGTATGGCACTGTCTTCAAGTACACAGATAAAAAGCTTTGCTTTTACATACATTTTATTTTATTTTACTTAGCATATCAACAAATAGTGCTGTCAATACATATTCATATTATATTATAATATATATTAAAATAAAGATATTTAATAATACAACACTATAATTTCAACTTAAAAGATCAGAAAGCCTAAGAAAAACTATACAATAACGTCTATTAATGCCTCCGACCTGCTGGGGGTATTTTATTTGCCATTTGGCCAGCTATGCCCCGAATCACAGCCATATGTGGTCAGAGACATTATAGACCTAACAGGTAACAGTAATTCTACTTAACAGCTAATTAAGCATAAAGAGGAAGAGTAAATGGGAAATCTCCAACCCGGTGGGGGAAAATTTGAAAGCCAGTCCGGCAAGCTATGGCTCGACTCACAGCAGTAAGTGGCCAGATATTTCCCCGGAGATACCTATAAATAATAAATTTTATAGAATAGAGAGAGAGAGCGAGTTCTGTCGAAAGCAAATATGAAAGATCATTGTAATTAGAACAAATGACCCGAAAACGATTGAGCACAGCGTAATCAGTTGTGCATCTAGACATGATGAATGGCAAATAATTCCGATTGGTCCAGCAATTGAACATGGCTTAAGAAATATTCATTCTAAAACAAGACCAGTGACTGAACATCCTTGCCAACACCACGAATATCGAAACCTGGCCACCCAGAATGTTAAAAAATGTTTCAAAAGCTTTGTGGTTGGTAATAAAAAACATAAAAATGTCTTTTTAAAACATAATACATAATGCTTTTCAAGGGTCAGCCGACTTAGCAAACTAATGCCCTAGGCCGACCCTTAGGATTAGCACTACTCTTCGTTTCCGAGTGATGGATAGCCTTTTTTAGAATAGTTCTAAATTATTAATTTTAATTTGAAAATAACAAATATTTTTTATCAACGATTTAATTTTATTTTATTTTTTATGTAAGATTCATAAATGACAATAACAATCGTTAATTTTGTGAACTCTGACTGCGTGCAGAGTTCCGCATTGCCGACCTAATCAAACGTAATTAAAGAGTCGGAGACCGAAGAGCTCAATTGCTGTTAACTTTAACTGTGACCAGCGCTCGGCTTCTTGTGGCAGTTGGGACGGCTCTTGTATGGAAGGGGGTCCACCCCTTGGAGCCGACCTGCAGCACAGAGCTTCCACTTTAGAATTTGGAGCAGCTTATCGAGTCGCTCGACAAATATTTAATTAGGAACACACATTCATTGCATTTGAAAGTGTTCGGCAGTGTGTCTTTTTGTACTGCGGGGGTGTGTGTGTGTGTGGGTATGCGATGCGTGCGGGCCTACGATTTTTGTTTTCATGCCGACTTCCGCCCTCGCGTTTAGAACTAGCTAATACTACTAATACTACCCGTAAAGACCCAGGGCGCAGGCGGCTGACCTTTGTGCGCAAAATAAGCGTAGAACAAGCATCGCGCAAGCCCGCAATTACCCGGTAATGACACATCCGTTCTGGTACTATGCTGATTTAGTTTAGTCGGTTGGCGACGTTTATTGAAACCACAAGAAACTGGATCAGCGTCGCAGCTTTGATTTAAATGCTTGTGTTGGTGCTGCTGGTCAAACCCAACGCAACGCATTTTTTGCAATCAGTTGAGTTCTGTGCAGTTTTCGGGAAAGTGCTTATAGGCGCCAAAATGTATTTGAAAATACGGCTGCGGTGTCGCAAAATTGAAATCTGGGGTAAGCTGATAACTCACGCATTGACGCGCATTTTTATGCAAATTGAACGCATTGCTATGCAGTGTAACGGTACTGTGAGAAAAGCGTGGCTAGAATTAAAATTACGGTTTTCCGTGCATCGCAATTCAGCCAGAATTTGAGGGGAAATGGCTTTAAAAGAGCCCCCAAAATGCGCTAGCAACGTCAGTCGCCGTCAATGGGTGCTAAGTGTTTGTGGTCATGTGTAAGTTAAAGTTGCTTAAAATGTATTAAAAATAGTTATAAAAACAACAAAATGAACATAATACATAAGTGGATGAAAAGCAATTGGACCTTTGGAGTCGGGACATAGTCCCACTAGTCCAAATAATCTGATGATTGCTGGTTCTAAGGTGAAAAAGTTTTGTGTAAAATGACCCTGTGAAGTACATTTCTCTATGCAAAATTTTACTTTAAAAAAGGATAGTATCGAATACAACTTTTTTGTAAATAAAAATTATTCCTCTTAAATCATTTCATTTACATACTTTTTTTTTTAACAAAAACCAATAAAGGGCTAGTTGACTGCATTCGAAGAAACACCCTTTTGAATTGTCGTTAAATATTTGAATTTTATTCAACACCTTTATTAAGCAGGTCTCGTAAAGCTTTTCGCTTATTGCAGATAGCAGAATCAAAAATTAGTTGTAAAAGTTCAGAATAGATAAATAAAAGAATCACACACCAAAACTTGTTCGCGTCGTTTTCAACTGGTTTAGTGTGCTTTCCGCTGTAGCGCTAAAAAGTTCAAATAAGAAGAGCTGGCGGTCTATCTGTGAGAGGGCGAGCCAATAACATAATTGGCCGCATTTTCAGATTATGGGACTGAGAAGTTTTGCGCGTTTCTTAAAATGTTGGTGCTTGACACAAACGTGCCCAATTATTTAAACAAAATGTCGAACGTACGCATATGGCGTTTTATAATTAATTAATCAAAATAAAACAAAACATGAAAAATATTTACAAGCAAAGCTGACGCATTCGAACAGCTTTTCCTAATCTATGCGAGCGAGAGTGCGACTATGAGTGTGTGCGGGAGAGCCGACATACATTGTGCATACTATATATGTATGCATGTGATAACTTGCCGGCTAACAGCATGGTACAAATAAGCTAGAAGGTTGCCACTTCGCAGGTCCGTCATTCGATGTTCTCTTCGTGTGACGTCTCATAATGCGCCGTGGTGTAGCCATAATTCACGCAGTATGACTTTTTAGACCTGCCATGTTTAAGTTTAATTCAAAATGATGCTTTGTGCTGCAGGCAGATTGTGTTGCCCCACAGCTCAAAATGGATCAATTTTGAGGTACCTGAATGGCTAGAGTAAAAAAATAGCAGTCTTCAATGCCATACCTTCTCCATTTGACCATAGACCAACAGCTGTTCTTATGGCACCTGTAGTGCCAAAGCAATGTATCGCTCTCCCTCTATTTCTCGCTCTCTTGCTAGAAAGCTTGGCTCAAGCCAAACTTGGAAGTGTTTTGTTTTGTGTTTTGCGCACATTACTATTGTTGGACATTTTGTTTACATTCGTTTTCTTGTCCCAATTGTTGTTGGCTCTTCATACATTGTTGTAATTTAAATAACAAATGTTGTATACCATTTCATTTCCGTTACGTTTCGCGTGCTGATTTCGAACATTACAACTGCAAATGTGAGTATGTTTTATTTTAGCAAAAAATGCATAATTAACGTGAATGGAAGAGCAATGGAACAATGAAATGCGCTTCTACTGTTACCGTTACAAGCCTTCTGACATTGACATAAAAATGACCATAAAGGGCGCGTATATGAAAGTATTCAATGAACACAAAACACTCGTTTGTACATTGTACGTACTACATGTACATATTTATGTAAATGCGTATTGTTGAGAACATTGATTTAATTTGATTATTTTGAGGCCTAAGCATACTCATGTAAATACATACATAATGTATAATATAGGTGCATAGTTGCTATTTAAATAGAATAAATACATATGCACATATATTTAATTTAATACTTAGAAATAGAAAGGCTTGAAAATAAGTGACTCATTCATTTGCACTTTGGTGTAAACACTATATTTTTGCTTGTTTGCAGACATAACATTATAATTTTTTCACAGAAAATGTGTCAACGACTTAGCTTTGTTCACTTTTAGCATTCCATATCATATTTTGTAATTTGTTATCAGGTACTAGTATTACTGATAGTATTTATCTAGCAACTGAAGCAATTTGTTGCTACATTGCTCGGACAGTTACCTCATATCGATTTTATTATAAATGTCTTCATTTTTAGGTTAGGCAATTTTTTGATCGTTTAATTGATAAAATACTATAATTGACATACAAACAAACATGTTTGCTCACTGTTTTCTTCGATTACAATGCATCATGAGTTCAGGCCAACAGGTCGTACGGTTCATAAGGAATACTACTAGGAAGTTATGGAACGTGTATTTATATATATACAAGGTCTGTTCAAAAGAAAAGGTGAATTTTGAACTTCTTTGAAGGAGACCAATGAAAGGAAAGCGATTTGCTACTTGAAATATTTGCTATTTGAAATAAAATCAAAATCGAAAAACGAGCTGATGGACAAGCAAAATGGATATTGATGAATAAATAAATGCTTTTCTAAAAAATGCATTAAAAAATCACATTTTCTTTTGAAACACCACGTATGATGTAATTAAGTTTGACGTGTTATCCCATTTCTCGCATTTACACTTATTTCGAATTTTAAAACAAATTTCAATACGAAGAAAATTCTTTTGATTCGAATTTTTATTTATTGAACAACGCTCTTTAAAAAACTGTACATACATATGTATGTATTTTTCTTCGCGTGTGTAATCATTACAATTAAAATACCAACTTTTGAGAAACAAAAGTTTGGAAAACTTGAACTTATATTTTGGCAATAAAAATATTTAATACATGCATACATTTTCAGCACTATCATTATTTTCTGCGATCCTGGGCCTCTACATTCTGCATGTCTCTTTAGCTCTCATCATACTTAATAAGGACGTTTCAACATCGCGTGGTATGCTGTATCCTCGGGACTCTGAAACGCGTGAGGTCCGCAGCCTTGATGGCATGTGGAACTTCGTTCCCTCCGATGAGACAAACCCAACACAGGGCATTAGGGATCAATGGTATAAGGATGATTTGAACAAGGTGCGTGAGGTTATTGGGATGCCAGTGCCGGCCTCGTATAACGATATCACCACCGAGCAATCGTTGAGGGATCACGTAGGCACCGTCTGGTATGATCGCAAGTTCTTTGTGCCGCGCTCTTGGGCTAAAGATCAACGTGTCTGGTTACGTTTTGGCAGCGTTCACTACGAAGCGTTTGTGGTAGGTATTTAAGGCAATCCACAATCAATTTTCAAATGGGTAATTTTACTCTTTTATTAGTGGGTAAACGGAGAGCTAGCCGTCAAACACGAAATGGGTCATTTACCTTTTGAAGCAGAGGTAACGCACTTGCTGAAGTACGGGTCTGAGAATCGCATAACCGTGATGTGCGACAATGCGCTGATTCAGACCACAGTGCCACAGGGCAAGATCTCGGAAGTGGCCAACGATAATGGAGTAAGCATTGTACAAAGCTATTCCTTCGACTTCTTCAATTACGCGGGCATACATCGGTCGGTGCATTTATATACCACGCCCAAGACCTTCATTGAAGAGGTGGAAATCAACACTGATCTGGCCAATGACAATAGTTGTGAGTATCGTCCATCTTTGGTGGAATTATCAATAGCTACAACTTATATTCCCTTACATGTCCATTCGAAACTCGTCCTTAGTGGGCTATGTCTACTACACGATAAGTGTGAATGGAAGCGCCGCCAATGAGGCAGATAATGCTCTATATGCACGAGTGCAGCTGTATAATCGCGAGGGCGAGCAGGTGGCCAATGCCACCTCGGATGCAAAGCTGTCGGGGATGCTGCAAGTGGAGAAAGTAAAACCTTGGTGGCCGTACCTAATGCATCCAGATCCGGGATATCTCTATGAGCTCGAAATAGAATTGCACGCAGCCAACGAGGAACTGCTTGATGTCTACCGATTGAATGTGGGCATAAGGACGTTGAGTTGGACAAACACAACATTCAATATTAATGGTAAGCCGGTGTACTTTCGCGGCTTCGGACGACACGAAGATGCAGATGTGCGAGGCAAAGGGTTGGACTATGCATTGCTCACCCGCGACTTTAATTTGCTGAGATGGATTGGGGCGAATGCCTATCGCACATCGCACTATCCGTACTCCGAGGAGTCTATGCAGTTTGCCGATCGTCATGGCATAATGATCATCGATGAGTGTCCCAGCGTGGATACAGAGTGAGTCTAAAGTTAATAGACCGGAGTTCTCTATTAAGTTAGTATATTGACATCACAGGAACTATAATCAGGCCTTACTTGGCAAGCACAAGTCGTCACTGGAGCAGCTCATACATCGGGACCGCAACCATCCTAGTGTGGTCATGTGGTCGATCGCCAATGAGCCGCGAACACAACAGATGAATGCGGACACTTACTTTCAGTGAGTTAACTGCAATTTCAAAGAGTTTGGACACTAATATTCTTTATCTTTTACCAACAGGTTTGTGGCTACTTTTACGCGCTCCTTGGACAGCACCAGACCAATAACGGCGGCCATTGCTGTGCCTTCTTCAGAAGATAAGGCAGTAAGTCATATAGTTGCTTGAAATAAGCTGCCTTTTTGGAAAGAAGTTTATTTTTCGATATTATTCTAAATTGTATCTGAATGAGTCATCATTTTAATGAGTGATCTTAATGAGGTTGATAGGTTATTTAATAGGCCTTGAAGATAAAAATTCAGAGCGATTTTGATTTTTGGGTGTATTCGAGCATAAATATAGAGTCTCTTCTAGGCACGTTATCTGGATATTGTGAGCTTTAATCGGTACAATGCTTGGTACAGTAATCCTGGGCGGCTGGATATGATTACGAAGCGCGTAATAGATGAGGCTACAGCCTGGCACAAAAAGTGTAATAAGCCCGTTATTATGTCAGAGTACGGCGCTGATACGCTAGAAGGTCTGCATCTGGTGAGGATTAAAATTAGTAATATGGTGGTTGCTCCCTTCTCATGACTCTGTTTTTTAGCAACCGTCCTATGTGTGGTCGGAAGAGTACCAAACGGATCTGTTTTCGCGCCACTTTAAGGCCTTTGATGCGCTGCGACGCCAAAAGTGGTTTATCGGCGAGTTTGTGTGGAACTTTGCTGACTTCAAGACGGCCCAGAGTGAGTAGTACTTGGCATATTTGAACAGTTAGGGAAGAATTGGCTAATTTGTTGTTCTCTGTTTTTTTTTAAGCTTACACACGTGTCGCCGGAAACAAGAAAGGAGTATTTACGCGTGCGCGGCAGCCCAAAGCCGTAGCGCATCTACTGAGAAAGCGATATTTTGCGTTGGGTCGGGAGATGGATCAATGCAGTTTTCCAGATGATCTGTTCACTTATATTGCCGAGCCAAGTGAAAGCGGCAAACACGATTCCACAGACTTATAGAGACAGTTGATAGCTTCTTTTGCCGACCACTTAAAGTGACAAGAAGAGAGTACAACCGGTTTATACATACTGATACGTCATTTTTGTAAATATGTATTTTTATCTTTTATGTTACGAGCCAAAGCTCAACAGACCGAATGCATTTCGATTTTATCGCATTGTATTATCTAAACTAGTAGTAGTTCGTTGTAATGTTTTTATATCTGGTTAAGTGTAAAATACATATTCACAATATTTTAAGCTGAAAGAGAACCATTTGTTTTTGAATTGAATTGCTTAGAAACTCAAAACGTACCCATTCATACACATACATATGTACAAGCTTAAAATGTAGCCTATTTGCAATTATTTGGATAACTTTCATTCGAATTGCGTTTAATTTTAGTCGAACATTTCTGAACAGACAGTATTTAAATTGAAACAAACAATTGCTTAACATAGTTCATCATATTACCCACGCTTTTGAATTTTAAAAATTAAATTATTGTCGAAGGTTTCGAGATTTTTGTAAAAAAATAAAAAACAAAATTCAAATTTTAGCTTCCTACCTCTAACCGCTCGTAACACGCAGACCCATCGATCCCTACTACCAATCAGTATGTCAGTGCAATATTTAATATAATAATTATAAATATATGTGAAAGTAAAACGAAATGCCCTCGATATTCCGAATAGTTTGGTAACATTTATGTATAAATTAAGTTAGGCACCTGCACTATAATGTGTCTTCAGTGCAGTTTTGAAATTTTAACAATATTAATGTGTAATGCGCTCCTAGGCCTCTACTTGAGCTCCTCTTCAGCTCTCGATCTACAAGATATTACTATAAGCAAATCGCGTGGTATGCTCTATCCTCGGGACTCTGAAACGCGTGAGGTCCGTAGTCTCGATGGCATGTGGAACTTTGTTCCCGCCGATGAGGAATACCCCAGTCAGGGTGTTAACGATCAATGGTACAAAGATAATTTAAACAAGGTTCGTAAGGTTATTGGAATGCCAGTGCCGGCCTCGTATAATGATATTACCACCAAACAATCGCTGAGGGACCACGTAGGAGCCGTTTGGTATGATCGCAACTTCTTTGTGTCGCGCTTGTGGGCCAAAGATCAACGTGTCTGGTTACGTTTTGGCAGCGTTCACTATAAAGCGTTTGTGGTTAGTATTTAGGGCAATAGAACCCCCATTTTCGAAGGTGCAATTTTACTCTTTTATTAGTGGGTAAACGGAGAGCTAGCCGTCAAGCACGAAATGGGTCATTTACCTTTTGAAGCAGAGGTAACGCACTTGCTGAAGTACGGGTCTGAGAATCGCATAACCGTGATTTGCGACAATGCGCTGATTCAGACCACAGTGCCACAGGGCAAGATCTCGGAAGTGGCCAACGATAATGGAGTAAGCATTGTACAAAGCTATTCCTTCGACTTCTTCAATTACGCGGGCATACATCGGTCGGTGCATTTATATACCACGCCCAAGACCTTCATTGAAGAGGTGGAAATCAACACTGATCTGGCCAATGACAATAGTTGTGGGTATCATCCATCTTTGGTGGAATTATCAATAGCTACAACTTATATTCCCTTACATGTCCATTCGAAACTCGTCCTTAGTGGGCTATGTCTACTACACGATAAGTGTGAATGGAAGTGCCGCCAATCAGGCAGATAATGCTCTATATGCACGAGTGCAGCTGTATAATCGCGAGGGCGAGCAGGTGGCCAATGCCACCTCGGATGCAAAGCTGTCGGGGATGCTGCAAGTGGAGAAAGTAAAACCTTGGTGGCCGTACCTAATGCATCCAGATCCGGGATATCTCTATGAGCTCAAAATAGAATTGCACGGAGCCAACGAGGAACTGCTTGATATCTACCGATTGAATGTGGGCATAAGGACGTTGAGTTGGACAAGCACAACATTCAATATTAATGGAAAGCCGGTGTACTTTCGCGGCTTCGGACGACACGAAGATGCAGATGTGCGAGGCAAAGGGTTGGACTATGCATTGCTCACCCGCGACTTTAATTTGCTGAGATGGATTGGGGCGAATGCCTATCGCACATCGCACTATCCGTACTCCGAGGAGTCTATGCAGTTTGCCGATCGTCATGGCATCATGATCATCGATGAGTGTCCCAGCGTGGATACAGAGTGAGTCTAAAGTTAATAGACCGGAGTTCTCTATTAAGTTAGTATATTGACATCACAGGAACTATAATCAGGCCTTACTTGGCAAGCACAAGTCGTCACTGGAGCAGCTCATACATCGGGACCGCAACCATCCTAGTGTGGTCATGTGGTCGATCGCCAATGAGCCTAGCACCCGGGAGAAGAACGCTGACATTTACTTTGAGTGAGTGACATGAAATTTATTTTGGACTGTTATATTGCATTAACTAAGTATTATTAAAAGATATGTGGCCACCTTTACCCGCTCCTTGGATAGCAGTAGACCAATAACGGCGGCCATCAGTGGGTCTGCTATTGAAGATAAGGCAGTAAGTTGTTTACTTGTTTGGTAGCAGGGTAAAAAAATCGAAGTTTTTTTTAACAACTTCCTTAATTCTAACATAAATAAAACAAAGTGAACAAGAAAATAGATAGGCTCAGAAATTTAAACATTTTAAAAACCAAAACGGAACCAGATGAAATATTTTCGCAATCTACAACGTATTCCCTTTGAAAATAAATTATATACTTGTATATTTTTTTTACCAATTTCTCAAGAACGGACGTACCGACCATTGTTTGACTGTATTTCAAATTCAGTTGGTGTAAATGACTTTCATACACACCGAATTGAATGTGCTGGATACTATATTACTAATATATTCCTAACTATGTACATAGATAACTTTGTAAATTTTAGAGTAATGCGTTTTTAGCGTTAATTTCAGGGTGTTTTGCAAAGGCACTTGCCAGTAGGTTTAGTTTTAATATAAATTTTCTTAAAGGCTTGTTATCTGGATATTGTGAGCTTTAATCGTTACAATGGTTGGTATAGTAATCCGGGGCGTCTGGATATGATCACAAAGCGAGTAATAGACGAGGCTACCGCCTGGTATTATAAGTGTTATAAGCCCGTTATTATGTCGGAATACGGCGCCGATACGTTGGAAGGTCTGCATCTGGTGAGGATAAAAACTAGTAATATTGTTGTTTCTCCCTTCTCATGACTCTGTTTTTAGCAACCGTCCTTCTTGTGGTCGGAAGAGTACCAAACGGAACTCTTTTCGCGCCACTTTAAGGCCTTTGATGCGCTGCGACGCCAAAAGTGGTTTATCGGCGAGTTTGTGTGGAACTTTGCTGACTTCAAGACGGCCCAGTGTGAGTACAACTCTTGGCATATTTGAATACATAGTTAAGAATAAATTAATTTTGTTACTTACTGTATTATTTAAGCTTACACACGTGTCGCCGGAAACAAGAAAGGAGTATTTACGCGTGCGCGGCAGCCCAAAGCCGTAGCGCATCTACTGAGAAAGCGATATTTTGCGTTGGGTCACGATATGGATCAGTGCAGTTTTCCAGATGATCTGTATCCTTATATTGCAGCGTCAAGGTGGCACATACGATAGTAATTTCCAAATTAATAGGAGGTGATTGTAACTTTCGCATATGGTATTTCTTAATTGAAATTATATAAGTTGTAAACAAATTGCTTAATAATGCGTAATACCTTAAGGATTTCAAATGTGTATTCGAATCATAATAAAATATTCTACTATATTGCATAAATTTTAAAGGAAAATATTTTCTACAAAAAGACATCCATTAAGAGATCCCATTAAAGAAAAAGTGGAACGCTAAAGTCTGTACCTACGCATAGGATATTTAAAAAACTTTATTTTTAATTGAACATAAGCAATAAGCAAATTGTAGTAGGAAAACCATTTTTTCGGTTGATTATTCCTTCTTCGGTATTCTAACTCACGTAAAGGGTGTATGAATGCACATTTGCATCTAATTTATGTCTGTGTGCTCCCATGCAGAGTCACTAGCCATACAACATACTTACATATGTATGTAAGCAGTGTCTCAAGTTCTTACAGTGCACTATGGTTTTTTTGCCCGATATCTAGGTGTTTATTATAAAGGAATTAGGGGAAATCCCTTATAAATTTGCGGGTTATTTCTTCATCGGATATTCATGTGTAATATATTTGTCAGAGATGCATGTGTACATACCTTGGTTGTTGAATGGTGACGAAATTATTTTCTGCAGCGAGAATATTCAATTAACAAGAGAAAACGCTACAGTCGAGCAAGCCCGCTGTGTAATACCCTGTACCCAGGTAAACTTCCGTCACTGAGTTATATGCGCCCAAAACAGCAGCAAAAAGAGGAAGAAGAAGAGCGAACTTGTTGCTGCAGTTTGTGGGGGTTGTACTGGCGAGAATTTGTTTCGCTAATAACTTTTCTTAGAATTGACCGAATTGAATAAAATTTTATTTTTAAACAACAGTAGATATACAACAGTATATATACATGATGTGTGCAAAGTTTGGTTTAGGTAGCATTTGAAATGTGGACGCTATTGGCGAAATTCTGCAGCGGGGTAAGGGGGGAAAATTCCAAAAAATACCCTACGGGTACAGGGTATAAAAATACTTCAACAAGGCTTTAAGTTGGGTGCATTTTCAACAATAACAATGAAAGCATATTTTGCAAAGTTTTATGGTCACACTGCGGAATTATTGTTCGAATTAGCAAACAGCTGTTTGCAAATAAGAACAATTGCCGAAATACTACAACTGAATTCTTTGAGCCCGTTCAAATTAATATTTCATAGTTCTCCCGCATACATTTCATTTGTAATCAATCGCTTTTCTCAGTGTAGAACATGTTTTGATTTTAATATAGTACACCTAATTCTGTTTTTACATGGTGATTGGTTCCAGAAAAAATCGTGTAAAAAACCATGTAAAAAAGACATTGATCTTGTTATTTTGAATCGTGCTAAATGGAAAAAGTCGCGCAACCATATCTAACAACTTTTAATTTTCAAATCGTGTTGAAATAAAAAATTAAATATACATACATACATAGAATTTAAAAGTCTGTAGGTAGCAGCTCTTTGGCTTATCAGTTGAAATTACCAGGTGGTGGAGAGTGTCCCTACTGTCTTTTTTTTAATTAATCTTCGTACACTCAAAAAAGAAATAACATGATTCAAATGAATATTTCCATATTCAGTCCAATGTTTTAATATTTCGTCGTTAATTCGTACACTTAACTAAAATCATATTCAAATGCTGTTTTATTAATGAGTAACAAAACAAGGTGTAAGTCTTTGTTATTAAAGTGCGTCATACTCAGTAAATTGTAATGTTTTTTTTTGTAGTGAATTTAAATTTAATGGAGAAAGTCAATATTTATAATAATAGCCGGAAAGTTTGATTAAACATCTTCACACTTTAAATTCAATTTTAAAGCTTTATAGTATATTTATGTATTTACTGAAATCGATAGAAAAAATATTTTAATCTACGTGTAAATATTTAATTTTATGTGTGTGTGTGTTTTTTGTTAGATATTTAAATATTGATAAATGCTTCACAAATTACGGTGCAGTATGAATTTAAAGACGTTGCTTGTGTGCTGGATCATCGCCTTTAATGCCAGTTTGGTATTTGCGGTTATATCTGCCAATTTGGAGGATTCTTGTTCCGAATGTTCATTATGTTTTGAGGAACCTGTTCCCAGAGAGGACGATATAAACTTTAGCTATGAGGCTTTGAAGCTGCCCAGACCTACAACTGGTCTGCTTTATCCCCGGGAATCTGAGACCCGCGAGGTGCGCAGTCTGGACGGGCTGTGGCGCTTTATCAAGTCCAACTCCAGCGATTCGCAGCAGGGATTGCTTGAGAAATGGTACGAACTAGGATTAGAGCAGACAGGAATACCCACCATGGCCATGCCAGTGCCTGCCTCCTACAACGATATTACCGTACACGCTGCTCTGAGGGATCATGTGGGCATAGTTTGGTACGAACGTAGTTTCTTTCCGCCCAACAGCTGGGAGAGAGAACAGCGGGTGTGGCTGCGTTTTGGCAGTGTGCATTACAAGACTGAGGTCTGGATCAATGGTCACTCGGCGCTGAGGCATAGCATTGGCCATTTGCCTTTTGAGGCGGAAATAAGCAAATTTTTGAAGTTTGGAGCCGAGAATCGACTGACACTGATGTGCGACAATCGACTCAACGACACCACTGTGCCACAGGGCACGGTGGTATATAACTCAAGCGAATCTAACAACGAGCCCCTGCAAACGTACACTTTTGATTTCTTCAACTATGCAGGCATACATCGATCCGTCCACTTATACACCACGCCGCTGGTTTATATCAGCGACATAGCACTACATACTGACGTACAAAACAAGAGGGGCCGTATTGACTATAAATTAATGGTTAATCACGTTGATCAGACGCCCTGCTTATTGCGGGTGAGATTGCTTGACAAGTCTGGCCAATTGGTGAGAGAACAAGAGAATACAAATCTGTTAGACGGCACGCTCGTGGTGCCTGATGTAAACCCTTGGTGGCCGTATCTGATGCATGAACAGCCTGGCTATTTATATAATTTGGAGTTTGCCATACATGCCAAGGACACGATGCGGCTATTGGATGTTTATCGGATGCCCGTGGGAATACGCAGTGTAGAGTGGAATACAAAGAGTCTGTTTATAAATGGAGTCCCAGTCTATTTGAGGGGCTTCGGCAAGCATGAGGACTCGGATGTACATGAGTAGAATACACCAACTTTTATTGAACAATGTATTTCTAAAATGTATTCCCCATTTTTTAGATACGCGGCAAGGGCCTGGACTATGCTCTGCTCGCCCGCGACTTTAGTTTGCTAAAGTGGGTGGGTGCCAATGTCTATCGCACCTCGCACTATCCCTACTCCGAGGAGTCCATGCATTTCGCCGATGAACAGGGTATTATGATCGTCGATGAGTGTTCCAGCGTCAACGCGGATATTTTTGGGCTTGAACTGCTGCAGAATCATATGTCCGCATTGGAACAACTTGTACATAGGGATCGGAACCATGCCAGTGTTATTGCCTGGTCTATAGCAAACGAGCCGCGAACAGCCAAAAACGCTTCGAAGCCCTATTTTGAGTAGGGAAATTGTGAGAGCCCATATTTGTTGAAAGTCATTCCAGGTTTGTCCGTTTTCATTTGCAGTAAGTTAACAGCCTATGTGCGCACCATCGCGACAGATCGACCACTGACGGCAGCCACTAATGTGGAATGGGACAAGGATCACATGGTACAGTTTCTGGACATCATTGGCTTTAATCGTTACAATGCTTGGTATCATAATGAAGGCCAAGTTGACATTATAGCAAAAAACGTTTACAACGAGGCTAATGATTGGTATAATCGTTTCCAACGACCCATCATAATGTTTGAGTACGGCGCTGATACAATGGAGGGTTTTCACATGGTAAGTAACTTTGTGTCGAATTTAGCATATTGTGACCAATGACTCTCCTATCCGCAGTTACCGGCTTTCATATGGTCCGAAGATTATCAGGTAGCTCTCTTTACGCAGCATTTCCAAGCCTTTGATAAGCTGAGGAATCAGGAATGGTTTATCGGCGAATTTGTTTGGAACTTTGCTGACTTCAAAACGGCACAAAGTTAGTGATGCATAGATATTTGATGGATCTCATTGTCTATTTTAATTGGGTCTTGCAGAATATCATCGTGTTGGCGGCAACAAGAAAGGAGTCTTTACGCGCAATCGTCAGCCCAAGGAAGCTGCAATTTTGCTTCGTCGACGCTATCATGCACTTGCGTTCAAGTTGAGCAATGTAAGCTTGCCGTCCGATTTGTTTGACTATATTATAGACTGGTCCTAGATTACGTGTATATAAATATATCTAAGTATGTCATCATTGGGAATATATTCCGGATCTCAACTGCACCGTTCTAGCTCAGCAAGTTCCGCCTCGCTCATGGGCTCGACCACTTGCAAGCAAGCATTGGCGAATTCGACAAATAACGGCTCCTGCATGGCGGCCGCCATGGCATTTTGTGCGTTGAGGGCCACATCGATTTGTTGCAGCAAATTGCGTAGATGGGGATTGTACAGAAGCTGGCGAAGTGGCTCTGATGAGGCTGCAAAAAGAATTTGTGCCTTAGTATCTTCCATTAACCCATATGTGATTATCGTACCTAGCTGCTGTAGCATCGCAGGCGAAACGGTGTCCTCTGTAGGGAATGGAGCATGTAGCGTGGGTTCTTCCTCATCAACTGATGTTTTTGTTAGTTTTTGGAATTTTGTTGCATCGTCATGAGCGGCCAGGAGCTGAGCACATTCCTCTGTGCCCTTGTGGCTTTTGTAGCAAGCTAGTGAGCAGCTAAGAATATTGATGAAGGAATAATTGATTTTAGTTGGAACAATGTTGTTACTTACTAGGGCGCCTCACATTTGCTGCATTTATATTTCCTCGTTATTTGCTCGCAAGTTATGCACGTTGCCGCCATATTAACAGCTGATTAAATTTCTAGGCCGTCGTTTTTTTTGACGGCGGCGTCGCTGACAATTTTGCGACGATACAATACGATAAAATTCAATGCGAAATGTATAAGAAATATTACTAGAAAACGCAAAAAATCGCCTGGACCCATATTAACTATGAACAAGAAAAATAATTTAAATAAAAAAATTAACAATTTAACTTCAGTGTCAATATTGAAATAAAGTGTTGAGCAACCTACGTGTAAAAGCCGGAATTATTTTTTTGAATATCAAAGCTGCCAACTTGTTAACTAAATTATTAGAAATCGGCCCAATGTGTCTTTTGTATGGGACTATGCAACACAGCTGACACCGCCCCAGTGGCCTAATGGATAAGGCATCGGCCTCCTAAGCCGGGGATTGTGGGTTCGAGTCCCATCTGGGGTAAATCATATCTAACTATTTTGCAAAAGTTTTTTTTTTAATTACATATCGAGGCAAACATTTGACTTAGGCATTTCGGTTGCTTAAATTCTTCGCATATACAATTTTAATCAATGATTTACGTGTGTTTCCATAAGCCAAGCTGGCATATCGCATTTGGTGATTAAAAACGACAGTAACATAATTTTTTGTAAAAAGACAACTATCTTTTGTATTGTTGTTCTACATACATACATATGTATGTATGTAAGTATGTATATCTTGTCAATGAAGAGACATTGCAGCTGCCCGTATCTTCTGCTGCAGCATAAATTTTTTTTGGATGCGAAGAACTATAAGAAAATACAAGTGTTGGTTTTTACTGAAGAATGTCACATTATCTTGACAGCTAGTTGGCAGGGCAACCCATTCAGCTAGAACTCTTTATCGATGGATGGATATTTGGGTTTGGGATGCAGACAGTGCTGCAAAATGCGGCATGAATTAGATGTGCAAGATTGCAGGTTTGCGAAGTTCAGGGCCACCAATGAGGCGAGGCCAAAACAACCATCCAAGGCCCGTAAGCAAATCTGAGAGCTTTTTATACTCTCGCGCGCGAGGTGAAAAATGTGACAGACAGAAGGAGGCGTGGATGACCCCACAAAGTATATTTATTTTTGATCAGCATGACGAGACGAGTCGATCTGGCCCTGTCTGTTTGTTTTAGTCCCAGATGCCTTATGTGAATAGGCAGAAAATGTGTATTTTGGAATTTCCCTCCCTTCCCCCTCTACAACGCAATTAGTGATTTTCCATAATTCCCGTGTTTCTTGGAATTTTTTATTGAAATTCTGAAAATACACCCCAGTTAGTGATTATGAGTCTGTATGCTAAGTTTCATCATGATAGGCCGATTTAACAGGAAGTTAAGCAGCTGTTGTTGTTGTTACTGCTTTGAACAGGGACACGAGGCATACACAGACACACACATACACGCATAATTATTCTACACATATGTACAGAGTATTTCAGCAGCTGTTGTTGTTGTTACTGCCTTGCACAGGCACACGAGGCATACACAGACACACACATACACGCATAATTATTCTACACATATGTACATATGTGCAGAGTATTTCCCCTTTTTACTTGTTTAATGAAACTTAGTATTAGTTATTATTTAATTTAAATCGATTTTATTCGATTAACTTCGAAGGAAAAAGCGATTTTTTTGTTGGTTTTATTGAGTTAGTCTTTATGTTTTGGATTAACATTTTTGCAATATTTCTTTTGATAAAGGAGCAAATGAAACTAAGGAGGGTGAAATGCGTTCCATAAATTATAACTTGAAAAATGCACTTCACACATTCCGGCCCGAGGCAGAATAATTTTTAAAATTAGCAAAAACTAACAAGTTAGTCTAAAAACCCAACCAAACAAAATTGTCGACATGAAGGAAGTTCCTGAAGTTACGCCAGAAAGGTTGATTTTTGTTTGTCAACAACATCATAATTGAATCTAAATGTATGTTTATGAAGGAAATCAGTCTAAAGTTTCCATTGCATGAAATGGCTAATAATTAACTGACCCTCAAATCTGTTCACCATTTGAAACTTGTGCCAGTGAAAAAGAAAAAAAAGAAAAACAATTTGAAATATAGTATAGGCAGCTCTATTAACTTAATTGCTTCGCCCACTAGTTGGTCAAAGTAAAGGGCAGCTTTGAAGCCACACTAAATGAACAGTTACAAACACTTCATTTAGCACTAAAATACGACAACAACACGAAGGGAAAATGTTTTTCATTCAACGCTTTTTTCTCTCCATACAAGTACATCTGTGTAAGTTATTTAAAAAGTGGCTCCAATGCAATGAAATAAAGTCAAGAAAAGAAAAACAACTGCAATCAAATGACGGGCGGCATGTCCACAAATTGCAAACACATCCTGCACGGAACGTAGCTGGAGGTGGTTGAAGTTGAAGTCGGAGTTGGAGTTGGAGTCGGAGCGTCCACTATCATATAGTCAATGTGAAAAAGAACAACAATAATAACGGCAACAAGCAGGACAGCAATGGCCAAACGAACTAAGTACAGTTGTCAAAAAAAGGAGGAACAAGTAAAAAAATAATACCAACTACAACAGCAGCAACAACAACTGAAGCAGCACCAGCAACGGCAATAAATGACTTCAATGACTGACTGACTGGCCGACTGGGTTCGCTGCATGCACATGCAGGGCCATATTTTGGGAACTCGCTTAACAGAAGAGGTCCACCACACCAAGCACAAGTGACTTTTTACCAATTGGCTTTTCACACAGCGCGCGAAAAAAGATACAATGGCCGGGGCACGAAAAAAGGTCCAAAAACGACTACTGCAAACATGGATCGAGGTAATGGCGGCGGTGACGGCCCCACCCCCCCGGTCTAGGCTCGGCGAAAGGTAACATGGCGCCTCTGCCGCTTCCGCCGTTCGTGCCACACAAGCGCGATAATTGCCAGCGTTATCCGCTCGGCCTGCCAGTCAAATGGGCGAAGCCGGCAATCGTGGACACGGCGGCAAAGGAAAAGCCTTCGTGTGACTCGCCTACTTTTGATTTACAACATTCGTGCATCAGCAACAACAGCAGCTACAATTTCGCAGTATCACAAAGTACAAAAAAAAAAAAACAACAAATATATACCAAAGAAATGGCAAACAAATGCAAGCAACAAGAAAAACAAGGCTACCAAAAACAGAAAAAAGAAAAGCGGCACACGCTAGCGCCTGTTTTTCTCGATTTGGTCGTGTGAAGCGGTCCCATATACTACGTGTGCATATGAAAAAGAACGAAAATGAAGAGCAGAACCTGCACGAAAAGTGCCTACAAGGTGTCGTTCGTTAGTAGTTTTCAGCGTTTTCCTCCCCACTTGTTTTTCTTTGCGCGCCAGCGAAGCAAACGATATAAATAGATAGCACCACTTTGGGCCGCTGGCGCAAGAAAAAATAAAATAAAACGAAAAAAACGGCATTTGGGGAAAAACAAACTTGCTGTGATTGTGTGTGGCACGGCAGCGCCCCCTGCCGGTGGCTCCTGCCAGATTGACAGATCATGCAAATATCCGTATAATAGAACGGAATGTGCATAATAAGTATTAAATTACATAGAACTTTTAATTTATTGCTGAGCCGAACCCAAAAAACTTTGCCAATATCAATTGATGCAATTTATGCCAACTGAGATTTCGATGGTCGGGGAAACGAAGCAGAAATATTTTGATATACTTGTACACCGCCTGAGAACCGATTAGATTTTAGGTTATATAATGAAATTATAGTTATGGTTGCAACTAAGCTTAATTAAGAATTTAATAGAAGTTTAAATAATTACAAATTTTATTCGCACATTTCACCGCAACTGTAAAATGTCGAACGATTCCCAGCTCTGTAACCACACTATTTCACACTACAAAAAACATTTTAATGAGCCATTATACACAGCATACAAAATACATGATTTGTTCGCCAACTGGTCCTACGGGAGTTATACGAAATAAAGAGACTGTACGTGGTTTATAATAGACAAGTCTACATGTCATGTTTGGTGCCTCCAACTGTTCAAAAGTTCTCTGTGTTCATACGGAGAGGCCTTCTTCTTATTACATACACTTTCATAGTATACCCTTTCGATCTTTGTTATTGCGCCAACAGGAAATGAACTGGATATTTTACACAAATAAATACCTAATAAGACCATTTCAATCAATCAGAAATACCAGGGTTGTACACTCTTAACACTTACTTATTTTTATTGTCTAATAAGAGATTTTAAAAAGGAAATCAATTTTCAATTGAACATAATTCCCAAGTCCTTATCAGTGTTGTACATAAAACAAATACAAGTATATCCCAATTGACAACTTAATAAGTTACATTCGTAATAGAAAAAACTATGATTATTAATAATCTCGATATTTAAAAATGGACCATAATTGTCGTTATATATTTTCAAAGTAACCCAATTATTAACGTTAGTCGTACTTGATCTTGGAACAAAATAAATACTTTATTTGTGTTTTTGGTAAGGTACTATCCTTGAAGTTTTGTAAAGCAAAATAGTGTCTAGTATCAATCATTCCAGCGACCTTTTCATGCTAATAAATAATAAATCGCATCAAATCGGCAAACAATGGGCACACTTTAAGGAAAGCACTTTTTTCAAAAGGAAACAAAAAGGGGGAAAAGTATGAAAATCAAGTCCATGATGCATAATTTATAATAAAATCACGTGCCACATTCTCTCCACATGCTGGCCACAAAAAGAGGCAGTCATAATATTCATAAGTACACATATACATACATACATACATACATACATATGTACGTATGTATGAACAACTAAATAATTTGGAAATGATTTACAATATTGCGCGAAACGGCAGAAGAACAGACAGAGCAGGAAGAGGCGCAAAGTAACATATAGTCGGAAAGGCTTGAGGCGACGCGCATAAATCTAACACCATGACGAAAAGATGCACTGCAGTAGTCAACGCAGGGCACAAAGGATGGTCGGCAGTCGAAAAATTTGAAAATTACAGGCTGCACAAAAGCAAAAGCAGAAAAAAAGAAGAATAACTAAAATGATGCATGACTGGGCGATTGTTGAAAGGAGGCGGAGGAAAGTAGGCTTGTTTG